TAATAATGAGACATGCAAGTGACATTTGTTTTATGGCAGGGCTGAGTCAACGTAAGAATTCCGTTTTTGTTTTTAAGCAGTAAAAACACACACAGGCAGGGCCGGAGTGGGACAACATTTCAGGCCGGGAGCTTTTCATCCATTCAGGCACACACACACACACACACACACAATGAACTAAGTGTTCATTAGTGTATAACTATAACAAGCTAATCAATTATTGTTAAAAAAGTAGTAAGGTAAAATCACATCGTTACAGCTCATATAAAAGGAAAAATAAAAACGTGTATGAACCATCAGTTGGAGAGACCACTCATTTGAACCGGGGAAGCTACACTGGGTGCACTGCTAGGCTGGGGAAGCTACACTGGGTGCACTGCTAGGCGTGCACCCACTGGGTGCAAATAGGCGTATTTGTTTAATTTTGCTCTGGCCCAATGACAGTAAAGCTTTGGCCTGGGCCTTGCTCATTGGACCAGGCCACCAGGCAGGGTAGGAGTTTGCAAAGACCGTGAGGATGAAATTAAATTTAAAAAAAAAACAAAAAAAGACTGATGATAGGGCAGGCCCAGGCCACTTTGACACGCAGGCCACCGGGAGATCTCCCGATGCTCCCGATGGCCAGTCCGGGCCAGCACACAGGTAACAAAGCAGTAACAAACTCAAAAGGCGGAGGATGAAGTCATTGCAGCGACCCAATTTAAAATCTTCCTCAAAGACAGTAAATTGCAAACTTTAACATCAGCGTGATTAAATGCAATGAGAAAAGTGCCTTAAAAGATGAAGTATCTGCTCATATTTTTGCATCGTGGGACTTGGAGATTTAGGAGGGCCTTTTGTAGTGCAGCAGCGTGCTCACCTTCCTACAGAACAGTGTGAGTGTATAGCCTCGAGTTCTTCTCAATGGGGACCGTCTATTCAGCAATTTGGCTAATGTATGTGACTGCTGGGTTACCACGGGGAAGAGCCGAGAACATCTTCACAGAAGCCGTTTCATCACTCGTGACAAGTAAATGGGAGAAATTCTGCCCTCCGTTTTCCATTAAGCGAAAATATATTATGATATCCTGTGCAGAGGGTTGTTTGGCGTAATCATAGCAACATAAGGGCTTGATGGTTGTGTCTTCTATGGTTCCTTTACCATGAAATACATGCACGCAGCATTAAAAGGCTGTTGATTGTTACAAACAGTGCCGTGTGGATTAATAGGCAAGGTAAGTTTATTTGTATCGCACAATTCATACACAAGGCAAGCCAAAGTGCTGAACAAAACAAGCTAGCATTAAAATCATAAATAATCACAGTGCAGTAAAAAGAAAGATAAAAATATAAAATCCCTCGGTTGTCTGCAGCTAAACAGAACTGGATTTATACATTGTGTGAGAAGAGGCCTGTCTCACATTTTCAAGAAGATTTTTCCAGATTTTAGCAGTGTATTATTGTCATTTCTCACCTTTTTTGTTTCCTACGTTCATGTGTTTGTCTCTTGTTTAGAAGCCTTTTAATAGTTTCTTCAACCATCACCTTTTGAGTCACTATAGCATGCTTGGAACTGAAATATACCTCTTTGGGGCATCTCACTTGGTTTTAGGCACATTTACCATCAAACTGGACAAAAATAGGAGTTAAAAAAATATACCTTATGAGTTGCTCCTGCATCTTAGAGAATTCAAAAAAGAAAAAAAATGCATTGCTTTCTTCGAGGAGTGACTATAAAAGGGTTAATTAACATTTTGTGAATCTTATTAGAAAACATTTTATCTTTTACATGTTGAGAGCTGAGCTGAGTTAGATCAGTTCACAGAAGGAAAAAAATATAAATATGTGACAGAGCTCAAAGACACTTGCTTGAGAAAACTAGTGCTTGAAACCAAACGATTTTATAGCCCGAAAATGGTCAGATGGATTGATTGAGTCAAAAGTTAGGTACACTCCAGCTTTTTAATTTCTGGTTTAAGGCCATTAAGTAGAAAAATAAATTGTGTGTGAATCCCCTCGTTTTTGAGACTACGCCCTTGACGCTGTGCTTTATGGAGGTTTTATTACCTGGACAGATGCGAAACAGCCCTTGCCATCATCGATTCCGCCTTAAATGGCCAGGTGTAAAGGTATAGATGGCATGACAGATATGAAACAGACTGAGTCGCCGGTGCAGGGACATAAGTGGTAAAAAGGAGGAATAGCATCTCTCAATGATACAGCAGCACTCAAAGACAGGCAGGGTCACGGCTGACACAAAAACTGCAGATTTATGAAGCAATGTTCGCCTGGGAAATGTGCCCACAGAGCACTCTGCAGGATGATTGCACTCCATTCACCACCACTGTATGACACACGGATGTCCCCTGCAGTCAGTGGAGGCGAGCAACGACGATGGGAACCCAGAAGTTCTGTTCAAAAGAATCCTGTCAAAACATAATCAGCAGAAGATGTTTTTTTTCATGTGTTGTAATGTAAATTGATGTGTCAGATACTGTACATATGCATATAGCCGATCTTTAGTAATCGGCCAAATACAATGATTTCAATGATCACTAAAGATGATCATTAAAATTTGATCTGTTCCAGCTATAATGAGGCTGTGAAAAAAACAGTTAGTATAGTATATGCCATTGAGCCTTGTAATAAGAATCATAATCTCTGGCTCACAAAATGCTAAGATGTCTGCCCATATCTCTATAAATGCTTGAAAAAGACGTCTATTTTCTTTCTTTGTTTTATGTTATTTGCCTTTTTTGCACTATGAGGGGAGCTTTTTAGTATACCCCTGTATTTATTATACTTTTTTAACTATACCCCATTCCCATCTCTTTGTAGAGTGGGAGACAAATGCCCACAATTGTAAAGCGCTTCATGACTCTGGTGTGTGAAATAAAGATTACTTACTTACTTACTTATGTATAATGAGTCCGACAATAATAATGCATCGGTATAATATAACGCCTTTTGGACACTCAAAGGCGCTTCACATGGAATTATTCATTCCCCCCACAAACAGTGGATGATAATCTATTTCTGTAGCCATGGCTGCCCTGGGGGAGACTGACAGAAGCAAGGAAACCAGTATTTGCCATATGCCCCTCCAAACACCACCCACACACACACACACTCACTCTAAGCAATGTGGGTGAAGTATCTTGCCTGAGGACACGATGATGGTTTGGCACTTTACAGCCGCAGGCACCCCACTTTGGAACCTGGTGTTCCCATAGATCTCCCATCACAGTACTAACCAGCACCTGCCTTGCTTAGCTTCTGAGCTCTGAGGGGATCTGGCTCACACATCCATGGCATGTATAATTTAGAAGCTATGGAGGCTATGATGTTTACTATATAATAATTATATTTGGGGGATGTATTTTCTTTTTGTAAATCCCTGTATTAATATGATTCAAACATCGTGCATAGAATAAAGTCAAGACTTCTCTCTGATGGTAAGTAGGGAATTACTTACTGACACCTTTAACCATAACCATTATACTTTTTTCATAAAACATCTACCTGAGAGATTATATCATATTCTCATTTCATACCATTGGGTTAAATTATGCATTATCTGTGTATGCTTAAGATCGTGTGAGACACGTATATTATATATTTATTTGCAAAAAAGAACGAAGAACAAGAATTGAGTAGGTAAGAGAAATACTTTTGATATGATTTGGACGCGACCAATGTGATTTTTACATAGCGTGCTGAAGCCTCGCGAGTTTTCCCCCAATTCTCGTCCACAACCCGGAAACGCCTGACGGAGAGAAATCCTGATATGCCACTCGCGCTTTGAAGAAACCACTTTTATTACTTTTATGCTAGAGATTATAGCTGTCACGTTAGCACAGTAAACATGTATTTGTTAGGTGAAAAACGCAGAGTAATTTTTAGACAATGCCTTCGTGTGTAATGTCGTGGGAGTGAATGGAGCGGTCAGTGCCTCAGCCCATCACGCCGTGAGTTTATCCACATTACTCCTGGATCTTCTGCAAGAATTTTAACAATATACTAACAATTGCACTAAAATGAAGTCTGCTATCAAACCTACACCCATGTATCAAACGCGGAATGGTCATCACCTATTTTATAAGAATGGGGTTGGAGTTTATAAGATTTATTTTTTTCATGGAATGTATTACTGATGTATTTGCTGGGGTATTGTGAAAAAACGAATTAAATAAATACAAAAAAAATTACTCTTATCAATGTGGGGGGGAATGGTCAACAAAGCATCACATTATGTCTGCTGTTTAAATCACAGTATTGTAACTTATAAATAGGAGGATATAATGATTGACAATTAGAAGGACCAATAGTCTTGATGATCCACCGGGAAGTAGAAAATCCTGCTTTATACCTTTAACAATCAACTGACCAAATGGGGAAACTGAGCAGTCTATCTACTGCATGTACCGTATTGGGTTTCCATGTTCAAGAACTAGAAAAACAAGATGTGGACAATGTTTCTTTGTTTCTGACATTTCCCAATTGTGGTGGACGTGAGTGTGTGTGTGGCAGTTCTGGTAATTTGCTTGTATTTCCAGATAACACATAAGATAATACACTGAGCATTGGAGCCAGAAGATTTTATAGATGAATGTTATTTACGTACAAATTTGACTAAAAATCTCTAAAATATTTCACGCTAATTGATCAGTGGTTGAAACTTAGCAGTCAGTACAACTCAAGTCAAACGATGATTCTAACATTAACTTATACAGGCATCTGTATGGAGTCTGAATGTTTTTAAAGGGGACAGACCCGCAAAGCTTAGACTAAACTTTAATGATCCACAAGGGAAAATCAACACAGAACCTCACGCATACAGTAACATAGAAACATAGACCTAAAAGTTTAAAAGTATTATTTTTTTTTCAGACGTATGGCTGTTCAGCTAATACTGGGAGACAAGACGCACTAAAGACGGCGACATAATGTTCCTGAAATCTTCCTTCACGACTCTGATCGTCGGGGTGTTTGTGGTCTACGTGCTGCACACCTGCTGGGTCATGTACGGGATCGTTTACACCAAACCCTGCGACAACCCCAAAAGTGCCAACTGCATCTCACCGTTCCTGGCCTCTAACCCCAAACTGCAGGTATGTTTACACCTGATGCTCTATGGAAGTCATGTTTAAAACTGTGTGATAATGTTTTGGTCGATTAGTTGAGCATCTACACATCGCTGAGACCCAACACAGAGGGAGGACACACTTTGATTCACACAGAAGAGGTCTTTGACATCAGCACAAAGATTGAAAGGTTGGTCTTGTACTATAGTTTTAGACTTGCTACTGATGGAACTGGAAACTGATGGAAATGAATCATATATGTTGAAGGGATATTCCACATGCAGCTTGTTATACTTACTTCAATAGTTCTTGGAGGCGGAAGCATCTTCTTCCCATCTGTTGAAGTTTTTTAGCCAATTTCTTAGATGGCCGTCAGGGAAAACTGCGCACAAGTCTGGACCAGTCCCTCTCAGTCGCTGGACCCAGACTCTGGAACAAGCTGCCCCCTGACATGCATGTCCTCACTGATTTTGGCCTTTTTTAAATCGAGGCTCAAAACGTATTTATTCAGACTGGCTTTTAACACTTTTCACTTTTTTTTCATGATTTTTAACTGTTTTATTGTTTGTATATAAATGTTTTAATGGATTTGATGTAATTTTATTGTGAAGCACTTTGGTCGCCTTGAGTGTTGTAAAGGGCTCTATAATTAAAATTGATTGATTGAAGTCACACGAAGGACTATTCTTTACAGTATTTGCAGCATAACAAGGCGTGTTGTAAGGTGCTCCTTTAAAAATGGGGTTCTTGGTGCACTGCTGTGACTTATTATGAAAGGCAAGGACAGGCAAAGTATACTTTAGTTGTACAAGGTAAGTCAAAGTGTGTAACAAAACAAGAAAAAAATTATGAATAAGGCATTGAAATCATAAATACTCAGTGCTTTTTTGAAGAGTGAAGATTCAATAGTACTCTGGGCACTAACAGGAGGCCAGTGGCTGTCACAGGAAGTGGCACTGATGTGATCATACTTCCTCATTATTCATGGCGTCATGAAGTTTGTTTTATTTTTTAATTTGAACACCTTCTTCTCTTCCCCGTGGTGAAAAGCCGACATGGGTCCAAAAAACGCACCGCTGTTTCCCACTGTTTCCCGGGTTGACATTGCACATCTGTCCCTAACCTTTAGCAGGCCATATTAATTAACTCGAGCTCTGTTTTCCACTTTTCTATTTCTAAGGATGATTAATGTCTCGCTACCGAAAAAAACTCGAAACAACGGGACATTGTTCGCCCTGATATTCCTCCATCAAGCAGGCGTCAACCCCTGGCAGGACCACAGACAGGTCCACCTGGTTGCTCAGCTCACCACATACATGATTCCCAAAGCTCCAGAGGTCTCCCTTATAGCTGGAGAGGACCAAACACCGGTAAATACACTTGTTTGTTTTTCATGTTGTGACTCCATATGAGAAAAGATAACGGTTCATGTGCTATCGCAGGATGTAAAAGAGTCCCAGCAAAATAACAAGGCAGGTGCGGATGGAGCAGCTTCTTCGTCCTCTGACCAGCCAGTCTCTCATTGGCGTTCACGGCTCACTTTTAACGTTGTTGGAGACCACTTCATATTCGACAGAGAGTACCTGCCCGGCGATGTCCACAGATACCTCAGAGTGTAAGTACTAACATACTCACACAATCTACTGGTACTTAAAGGTAAATAGGAGGAATTTCTACTTCCAGGAGGATCATCAAGACTATTGGCCCTCCCTTTTGTCAATCATTCCGGTGATACGTGCAGAGAGTTTTGTTCAAAGTGGAGAGGGCGGTCCTTTCCTAACATTTTGGAAAATCCTCCTATATAACTTTAATTCTTGCTTCTTCATTTTGCTAAAGATAGAGATTCTTTACTTGCTTCTTTATTAAGCTAAAGTTAGAGATTTTATTATTTTGTGTTTTCATCTTGTGTTGTGTGCTCCTCATTCCTACTCTTCTGTAAATGTCCCCACATAATCATAAAGGTACAGTATATAGGAGGATTTTACCAATTTCAGGAAAGAACCGCCCTCTCCACTTTTTGTCTTTTTTGTCGAGCAGGTATCACCAGAATGATTGACAATTAGAAGGACCAATAGTCATGACGATCCACCCGGAAGTAGAAAATCCTCCTTAGTCCTTTAATCCTCTGTAGATTCTATTGTGTTCCAAATCTTGATGGTTTGTGCCCAGGTTTCAAAATGGCAAGAAAATGGTGTATCTCCCACTGTTGTTCGTGGACGAGCTCAGTAACCGGGTCAAGGATCTAATGGTGAGTCGTCCTCTTCATATCAGAAAGATTTGAATTATCATGTTCACTTGCCTTTTTTTCCAGGAGATAAATAGTACGTCTGCAGAGCTGCCTCTCACCCTCACGTACGACTCCATCTCGCTGGGCAGACTGCGCTTCTGGATCCATATGCAGGACGCCGTCTTCTCTCTGCAGCAGTTTGGTGTGTCCTCCTTTCCGAATATTTGACAATAAACAAAATATGTAGTCATATGTTATTAATCTGTAAGTAAGTAAATACTGTAATCATGTGCAATGTGCAAAACTACAACTCAGAATGTCCACTGAATGTCACTTTATCTACTTATTACCCTGCCCTATATGTGTATAACTTTGCACTAATATAGATATATAGCTACATATTTAGATATTTTGAAAGATTGATATTAAATCATTTACTGCTCACTAAGAAACGTAGCAGCCACTTATTTTGTATATTCAGTGTGCTCCCTGTGTGCTCGCTCTTCTGTCCTGTATGTGCGCTGCAACACTGAAATTTCCCCACTGTGGGACGAGTCAAAGATCTCTTCTCTTCTTCTCTTATCCGTTTGTGTTTGCAGGCTTCACGGAGAAAGACGCCGATGAGATCAAAGGCATCTTTGTGGACACCAACCTGTATTTCTTGGCTCTGACATTTTTTGTAGCTGCTTTTCATGTAAGTTGTTTGTGAATGTCATAAATGTGTGTTTCTTTGTCAAATCAACTACTGTAAGAACATGTTTTTAAAGTGTTCCCTCACATTTTACTCAAAATTGACAAAGAGGATTTATTCATGCTTTAGAAATCTATAGAGCTGTTAAGTCTCTTCTCGTTGGTTCCAGAAATAAAAACCCTGGGATTCCAAAAAATAATCTTTTCTAAAAGTTGAAAGTTTTCTCTGAGCCAATTGTCAATGTGGAGAATAACTATAATTTTGACCAATTTTACTTTTTTGACTGAAAGATGCATATTTCTGACTTTGCCCTCCCTTCATTCTTTTTTTGTTTCTGACGTAAAAACAAACTCAAACTCTTTTTCTTATTTCCATTGTTAAGAGAAGACATTGAATAACCTGCTTCCTAAAAATAGTAAAATTTTCCGACTTGGCCTGGGGTGAAAGGCCTCAGAATTCTTTTTTTTTTGTCCGCCACATTTATTTTTTGGGTTTTCAGTTTGGTGGCCCAGATATTAGTTGATATTAGTGCCCTTCGCCCGCGGGAGAACTGGGATGTCAGAAACAGAAATAGAATGAACTGGAGGTGCACAGACCCGAACAGCTTTTAACACTTAATAGCTGGATTTTCACTTCTCATCTGAAAATAAATGGGATTTCTTTTTACCTCATGAAGTTCTCTCAAAAATCCTACTGTGCCTCTTTTTCTTATTATTTCCAGATTAACGAATCCCCCTTGCGTTTCTTTCAGCTCTTGTTTGACTTCCTTGCCTTCAAAAATGACATCAGTTTTTGGAAGCAGAAGAAGAGCATGGTGGGGATGTCCAGTAAAGCAGGTACGTGACTTTCCAGTGTCTCCCTGTTAAAGCAGCAGAGTGGCATAAACGTTTTATTGTTTTGAATGCAATATTTGAAACTATAAATATTGGTCACACTTCACTAATTAACAGCTAATAAAGTGCTAATATGTGTGTAATTTAATTGGTATTGTTAAGAACTTGTCTACATAGCCTTGTTAAACATGTAGCTAACTAGTATCTGACCCTTTTCCATGTGGGCTGGGGTTAGGACTAAGGTTAGGGGGTTTGAGTTAGGGTTAGCCAAGCCCCGGTGATCCAAGATGGCGCCCTATTCAAATGAATGGCTTTTTCTCAGTAGCGCATGGGACTTCACGGAGACCGAGAGATTAGCTGAACTCGCCCATATTTAGGCATCGTCTGGTCCTCCCGGTTCTACACAGTGGACGAGCTCCCATGATGCGCCAAATACGAATGTGTGGCTCTCATGCACGTGCACAGAGGGGCTCGGCCGCACTTTGACCAATCAGAGCTGCTGATCAGAGCGGGAGTTATGGTGCTTTCAGACCGGATCATGCTTTGCGTCAGGTTTCAATGCAAAGTCTAAGGTGACGCGCGTTCGGCCGTCGCATCGCACAGACCGCTCGGTTTGCACAAACGGACTGGTCAGTAGACACGCACGGACTTGGCGGGAAAGTGAAAAGGGAGGAGCAGGAGCGAAAAATCGACGCCCACAGAAGATGGATTCTGCTCATCTTTTCCTTGGGACGTTCGTGCGACAACCAATCAGAGAGCCGCAAAGTGGTCATGGGGACATTGGCGGACTGAGCGAGCAGACTGAAAATACTCGTAAACAGCCAAAACAGGAGCTACAACAGGCTTCACCAGAATTCAAACCAGGGTTAACAATGGGGGACTCTGTGCTTGTGAAAATAACGAGCAGAGTGTGTGGCAGCAAAGTGTGGATTTAAAGAAAACCGCAGGAAACAAGTTCAGGAGGACAAGGGATACTAAAATCCCCACAAAATACAACCTTTTTGAAAGCTGCAGGTTCTCTGTCAGCTGAGGTAGAGCTGTTTTAGTTTACATCGAGTTCTACAGGGCGCCCCCTGTGCCCATGGGTGGGACAGCTATAAGCTAGTAATACTAGGGCTGGGTGATATGGCTGAAAACTATATCACAATATAAGTAATTCATATCGGTCGATAACGATATATATTGATTGTTTATTTATTTTTTAAAACGTAAATAAATACAGTCACGGGGGAATGAGGCTGGAGCCAAATGTTCACAAGCAGTCTTCCCCACTTTAGTCCTGGTTTAGCTCCTGTTTTGGCTGTTTTCGAGTGTTCTGTGTCCCCGTGACGGCTCCGGAAAAAGTGAATCTCTTGCTCTTGCCGAATGCATGGAGTCTCTGTACCTAGGGATGTAAAAAACTATGAATTTTCATGACCGACCACCGAGCCTCATTAACCGGTTGAAACCGGTTAACCGCGTAGTTTAAAATAGTCCACGTTCTTTGAAATAACAGCCATTTCGAGCCGCGTACTTTTCATAAGTGCAGCTGAGCGTTCTACGGGATCAGACCGAGACAGCGGTGCCAAAACCCGCAACAGCTTGGGCACCTTTGCGCACAGAGAACTGCTGTTTTAATCTTCCCATTCTGCTGTGCTGCGGGTTAATACCAAAACTTTCTAGCAGCAAACGACGGCTCGTTCACATGGTCAGAGCAGCGAGTGACGAGCCGCGTCTCACAGGTCTTCACAAAAGTTTAAATACAAGTGATGTGTGTGGAGCTGATCCCGAGGACCATAAACACAAACATGTTCCATGTGGTTTGACTGGAGCCGCGTATTTGTGCGAATCCTTTGGGCTCCGTGACACAGAGGAGCGCGACAGACCGGTATGTGTGTGTGTGTGTGTGTGTGTGTGTGTGTGTATGTGTGTGTGTATGTATATGTGTGTGTGTGTAAATGTAAGCTCCAATGTAGTTCTGACCCGCGCCAGTGTGCAACTTTGACGGTAACAGAGGGGAGAGATGATGCGTGTGGATGTTACGTATGGAGAGGGGGAAAGTGTGTGTGTGTGTGTGCGCGCGCGTGCGTGCGTGTGTGCATATGTGGCTCGTGCGGCGTGAGAGTCGTCCCGGAGTTTATAATACATGGGCGCACACAGCTAGATACAGACCCGCTCGTCACACCGTGCAAATAGGGCTTAAAATAGCGTTATTAAGAGACCTCCCCTCTCCCCTTTTCCCTTTTTTAACCGACAGCTTTGACCGGTTAACGCTGTGACGGTCAACCACCGGTTAAACGGTCGCCGATTTACATCCCTATCTGTACCTACTGCCTCTCCCGCCGCACATGCTGTTCCTCGCACGCACGTTCATAACCATTGACACGGCACTGAAACACAATCTTTACATCCATGGCTATTATAATAGATCCATGATCCATGGACGCTAACGTGGTGCGGTTGTTTTTTTGCTTTTCCCAAAAAGTTTTGCGGTTTGTAGTTGGCTGTGATAGGTCGAGAAGCCTCTGCCTACATCCCCCAGAATGCCGTGCGCCTCTGACTCGGCTTTACTTCCTGTGTTTTGTTCCTGTTTTTTTTCGAACGGACTGAAGTGAAACTATCAAAGTTCTATCGACCCCGTTTTTTATTGATATCGAACTTATGTCTATCGCAATATATATCGTTATCATTTTATCGCCCAGCCCTAAGTTAGGGCTAAGGTGAGGGCTAAGGTGAGGGCTAAGGTGAGGGCTAAGGTGAGGGCTAAGGTGAGGGCTAAGGTGAGGGCTAAGGTGAGGGCTAAGGTGAGGGCTAAGGTGAGGGCTAAGGTGAGGGCTAAGGTTAGGGCTAAGGTTAGGGCTAAGGTTAGGGCTAAGGTTAGGGCTAAGGTTAGGGCTAGGGTTAGGGCTAGGGTTAGGGCTAAGGTTAGGGCTAAGGTTAGGGCTAGGGTTAGGGCTAGGGTTAGGGCTAGGGTTAGGGCTAGGGTTAGGGCTAAGGTTAGGGCTAAGGTTAGGGCTAAGGTTAGGGCTAGGTTACTGAAGTATTACCTAAATATTTCCCCGTCAATGACTTTCTGCATCTCTTCCAGTGCTGTGGCGATGCTTTAGCACCATAGTGATTTTCCTGTATCTGTTTGACGAGCAGACCAGCCTGCTCGTGCTCATCCCCGCAGGCGTCGGCTCCATCATCGAAGTAAGCCTCTTGCTCAGTGCTATCGCTGGTGACATTTCACATTTATGACGGTTACCAATCAAATGTCTGTTTGTAAAGGTGTGGAAGGTGAAGAAAGCCTTTAAGATTCAGGTTTTCTGGAAAGGAGGAAGGCCAACATTCCTGGTAAGAAGCATCAGTCATAGATCGAAAGCTTTTTGAGTTTTCATGAATGCAATGAGACTTAATCAATTTTATAAATATCCCTCTTCTGTTGTTTTAGTTTGGAAAGCTTGACGAATCTGAAAGAAGAACCGAAGAATATGACACACTGGTAAGATAGTGGGTTCACGTGGAAAAAGTGCACGATTATTTTACTCAACTTACTACTACTTGAATCCCTCCATAAACTGGCCCAGAACACAGCTGCCCTCCTCCTCTCTCCTCCTCTTCCTCTCTCCCCCTGGTCCCATCTGCCTCCTCCTCCTCTCTCCAGCTCCCTCCTGCCTCCTCTTCCTCTCTCCTCCCCCTGGTCCCATCTGCCTGCTCCTGGTCCCTCCTGTCTCCTTCTCCTGGTCCCTCCACTCTCCAGCTCCTGGTCCCTTCTGCCTCCTCTTCCTCTCTCCTCCTGGTCCCTCCTCCTCTCTCCTCCTCCTTGTCACATAGGGCCTTCAGCTCTGGAACCCCCTCCTCCTGACCTCCGTAACACCGACTCGCACTCTTCAAATCCACCTGAAATCTCCTCTGTTTAGACCTAAGCCACTCACTCACACATAACTACACCCTCCTCTGTCCATGCTGTTTTTAACTCCGTATTTAGCTGTATTTTAACTGTTTTTAAAATGCACTTTTAACTTGAGTGTCTAGAAAGGTGCCTAAGAATTTTTTTTTATTATTATCATAGAATAACTATATACTGTTTTACTGCTCTGTGACACAGGCAATGAAGTATCTGTCCTACCTCCTTTACCCGCTGTGCTTTGGAGGAGCCATATATGCGCTCATTTTCCTCCGATACAAGAGGTACTTGTTACTCTTGCATTGATAGTTATTTGCTGCTGCTTTTATACAAATGCTGAATTCTTTTCTGTTTTAGCTGGTACTCATGGGTGATTAATAGTTTGGTTAATGGTAAGAAAGAAAGCATGCATATTTTACTCTTACATCTTTCCCAAATAATATATGTATTTTATTTTACAGGCGTGTATGCATTCGGTTTTCTCTTCATGCTTCCTCAACTATTTGTTAATTATAAGGTTTGTACAATAGTCATGATCCATTTCAACCATATAAACATGATTGTTTTGTGTGTGTTTTAAAATACATTTATTATTTTGACTCTACTCATTAGTTCAAATCCGTGGCCCATCTGCCTTGGAAAGCATTTATGTATAAGGTAAGTACCGTCGAATTGCTGTACATTGACTAAACCGTGAAAATTCCCAATTAATTTTAGATTTTTTAAATTATGATTTTCAGGCGTTTAATACCTTCATCGATGATGTCTTTGCCTTCATCATCACCATGCCAACGTCTCACAGACTTGCCTGTTTCCGAGATGACGTTGTGTTTCTCATCTACCTTTACCAGAGATGGTACAGTATCATGTTTCCTCCTTTAATGATTTTTGACTCTTTTAAATCTATGTCAGAGGTGTCCAAACCTTTTGAGATGAGAATGAAAGGATATAACATCTTCTACCACCAGATGAAAAGACACATTTATCAATACACCTGCTGCATTATTCCGGAAGGTTATTCCACGTTCTAATGCCGCGTTCAGACCGGATCATGCATTGCGACGGCTTTCAATGCAAAGTCAATGGTGACGTGCGTGCAAGCGTCAAAACGCACGAGCGTCTCGGAATGCACGCACGGACTGCTCAGTAGAGACGCACGGACTGCGCGGGGAAGTCGAAGGGGAGGAGCAGGAGCGGAAAATCGACGCACGCAGGAGATGAATTTTGCTGAACCTTTCCTCGGGACGTTCGTGCAGTGACCAATCAGAGAGCCACAAAGTGGTCACGGGGACATTGGTGGTCTGAGCGAGCAGACTGAAAATACTCGTAAATAGCCAAAACAGGAGCTACACCAGGACTAAACCAGGGTTGACAATGGGGGACATAGTGCTTGTTAACATGTGAGTTTTCATTCTCCCGTGTAGGGGTGTGACAATATTTCGATTTTTCGATAAATCGCGATACTTTCTCCCGCGATTCGATTATCGTTATGCATTTTCCAAGTATCAATATCGATTTTGAAAAAAAAAAAAATATATATATATATATATATATATATATATTTTTTTTTTTTTTTTGATACATTTTTTTTTTTTAATTGGTATCAATACTTAATATATGGCTACATTACGCATCTCCATTCCATTTATCATAAAATAAAGTGTATTTTTTCTTTTATTTATGCCATAAATTGGCATATTGTATATTTCTGACCAATATATCGATAATCGTCATATTGTGATAAAATTGTTATCGTGATATCGTTATCGTGATATCGTTATCGTGATAATATCGTTATTGTGAGCTTTGTATCGTATCGTATCGTGAGGTACCCTTAGGTTCCCACCCCTACTCCCGTGACTTTATGCAACTGCTTTGAGTGTGTTCGCCGATGCGGAAGTAATGTTTAATAATAAAATAAACTTATTGTGCACCTCCGTGAACACATACTACTGTTATATAAAGTCTGTGGAAGGTCTCTGAACACAGACACGCTGCAAAGCTGCATTATTGGAGAAGATCTTTACCATAGACTTTAAATATTAACGGACGTAGTCACGCCTATCTCCGCCGTTCAAACAAATGGGCCAAAAAATGTGCTCTACTGGAGCAATCTAAAATGGCTATCTAAAGTGGTCCCGCCAACAAGAAAATTGTGAATTTGTGAATTGTGTTAGCCGGCGAGAGCTCCATTCATTTAAACGAGTGACTTCAAAAATTCACAGCGAGTAAACTAGACTGGTCCAAAAAAATTCACTCCCCTCAGCGTTGACACACATGTGGAACGGAGCTTTGGGCCAAGAGCCAACTTTTGGACCATCCAGTAAAGACGTTTTCGAGAGGTCTGGCTAATTCTTATTCCAGGTCCACCCCCATCAACCCGGGGTGGTATTGCAAGCATGTCAGCGCACGTCGCTTTTGAGCCGGGACCCGCCCCCACTAATCTTCACGCAAGAAGCCGCTAGCTAAACTCTGTTAGCATCAAAGCCCGCCGGCTACTTCCGCCACTTCTGGCGTGCGCCAGGACTTCTGGTCTGAAGACCCCTGCGTCTGAAAACTAGAGAATGTGCGTCTGGTGAGCAAGTCTTCAGCGTTTCAGCGTTGGCGGTCTGAAAGCATAAAATGCCAAAATATTTCCGTTTCAGGGTCTTGTCTTAATTATCACCACATTACTATCCACACTTTAATATCATGAAGATGCAGAAAAAATTTTTGGACACCTCTTAGGCTTATTAATCTCACATATTGTTGTTATTGTAAAAAAAAAAATGTTTAGGCTGATGTCAGAGTATATTTCTAAACCTTTCATGTCTGTCTCTCTAGGCTCTATCCAGTGGACAAGACTAGAGTTAATGAGTATGGAGTTTCCTATGATGAGGAACCTAAGAGTAAATCACACAAGGACTGAGAATACCATTGGAAGGATTGGCCCACTACAATGGATCGACAAAATGAGTCAAATCAAAGACTTATCAACACATATTTCAGCGGATACGTTTCAAAAGGACATTTTAACCACAGAAAGAGGATTGGATTAACGGTTTAATTTGTATTCCCACAAAATTAAATTTTTTTGTCTTTCCTTTTGGCCGACATTCTTTGCTTGAGTTAAATACTGCAGAGAGTTGGTGGTAATTGGGGTGATGTTTTTATTTTTTTCATACAAAACATTCCAGAATCTAGATTTGTTGAAGGTACATGTTATATCCACTTGATGGTTTTGTAGTTGCACCAAAACTAGTATTCTCTCATATCGGGGCAGAGGAAGGTTTGTGCCAAATGGTCCTGTGTAGTAAACTTCCATCCTGATATTCTGAAGTCACAGGGAAATGTTGGCTTGAAGTGTTATTTCTTTTTTTTGGACATCTGAAAATTCAAAATTATGAAGCCGTTTTTATGGACATGTTAATTTCTTTAATAAAATAAAATAAATAAAACATTGTGAAATGTATTTAAACATCTGTGTTCTTTTTGTTGCATATGATACACACTGTAATATCAATTGTAACTCATGTAAATGTGAGTTATTCATGAAGCATACAGTAAAAAGTTCTGGTCTCCTCTCTTCGCATTGGTGGGATGAGCTATTAGGTGTATGTGGATTTTCTTCATCCGGGTGGATCATCAAGACTATTGGACCTCCTAATTGGAAATCATTCTGTTGATACGTGCTAGCCAAACAAGACCAGAGAGTTTTCTCAATAAGCAGAGAGGGCGGCTCTTTCCTAAAATTTGGGAAAGTCCTCCTATGTAGTTAAAGTTCCTAAAATTCTCTTCGCTGAACTCGAGCACGTGAACGAGAAGGAGATATTGGGGGAATTTGGATGCAACCCTTTTTACGTCATCTCGTTTTGCCCACGAGCTTTACGCACAGTATAAATAGCGAAGTCCCGCCCTCCGCCTTCCCTTTCCTGTGTAGTGAGTTAACGTGCCTAAAGGTGCTCGGTTCTTCATCCGAAGCTAAGGCCCGCAATCCGGCGACTAGCACCATCAAATTTAGGCATCCGTCACTGCTACCATAAAAACTAACCTCTACAATGGCCTCCGTGTCCGAACTTGCCTGCATTTACTCTGCTTTGATCCTCCACGACGATGAAGTTACCGTCACCGTAAGTCTGCCGCGCTGCTGTGTTCGCCGGTTTAGCCCTGATGTCCCGAGTATACCACCGTTATATCAGATATGAAAACCTTCAGTAAATGTCCATATATTGTCCTTAAATACTTGTGTATTTAAATCCGGCGTTGTGAAATTATGGCTATAAACTAGTCTTGCTAACCAAAATGGCGGGTAATGTGTTAGCAGCCGGTGTCCGCGAAACTACAAGGCTTTAATTCTGTGATGGGCTGAACTATTGGGTATTTATGAAGGGTGATCTGTTTACATTACCTGCTCGGCTGTGCCTTCGACTTTGTGTAATTGTCACTGTTCTTGACGGGACGTTTGGTCATCAGTGAACACGTGTTTATGTCCCGACGAGAGGATGACGTTTCTGTAGTGGAAGCACGTTTCCTGACAGTACATGGTTTAAAAGTGTGTAGGAAAGAACTGCCCTCTTTTAAAACTGATCTTGGTTGACGAGCATTCACAATTAGGACTAATAATCTTGACGGTCCACCCGGAAGTAGAAAATCCTTCTATATACCTTCTAATGCAGGTGTTTTTGTGCCGCAGGAGGACAAGCTGAATGCACTGATCAAGGCTGCCGGTGTCACCGTGGAGCCATTCTGGCCAAGTCTCTTTGCCAAGGTTTGTCCTTTTCCCTCATTTTTCAGTTTCCTTCAACTGGCCCATGCCATTTAATGTTTATATGGTTTATAGCGAAGGATGAATATTTCTTGGATTTTGGGAAATTTTCCTTTATCCAGGGATGTTTGAATGTTATCAAAGTGTGACATCAGTGTTTTGGTAGTGTATGAAATTTAAGGCTTCAATTTAGATCATACCTCAGTGTTTGTCTCTAATGTACACATTTGGAACTATGTCTAAAAGGTGAATATCACAATATTTAGTTTTCCTGATTATATAATAAACTTATGACAAATGAAGTTATAGCCAAACTTAACTTACTGGTAATCATGACAAAGCGAGGACACATGACTAGAGTACAAACTTTCTGTCCTTTCTAAAACCTGACAAACTGTTCTTCAGCCCTGCACTGATGCTGCCACATGGTTTCTCTCAATGTATATTTGTGGCATATATAACCGCCATATACTAAACTTAAGGCTTTTAGCTTTTGGCACAGCCTGATCAATAAACGTTAAATGTTGGTGGTTCTGAATACCAGTCGTGTTGTGAATGTTGACAGTAATTAAATTATTTCACTTCGTCTTTCAGGCCCTGTCCAGCGTGGACATGGGCAGCCTGATCTGTAACGTTGGTGCAGGAGGAGGTGCTGCTCCCGCTGGGGCCCCAGCTGCTGGAGGAGCTGCTACTGGCGATGCACCAGGTAAACGACACTCAAGTCTGGGATAAATGCACTTTGTACAGTGAATAATCATCTCTCTAAATGGCTTGATTACCCTTGTAAAGTACTAAACATATTGTGTGAAGAGGAAAGATTTAAAGTCTGATTTAAATTTATCTTTTCACTTATCTACAGCTAAAGAGGAAGAAAAGAAGGAAGAGAAGAAAGAAGAGTCTGAAGAATCTGATGACGACATGGGTTTTGGTCTCTTTGACTAAAACTGTTGTTTTTTTAAAACACAAATAAAAAATGACTACATGCTTGTCTGTTTTTCTGAGATGGATATTTTTTTATCTTTTAGATGAGTGTTGCATGAGAAGTGATTACCACCACCGCCTCCTGTTGATGCTAAGGAAGTGGAAGGGATTGGCTTAAAGGTCCTATATCGCTTTTCTTCATGTTTCACACTCAACCCTATGCACATGTGTGATATTAATGTGTATGATACACCACACAACAATCAAAGCTTGTGAGATTAGAGCCATCTCTTGTATAGAGGTGACGTCACCACAACTAAAACGAGCTGATCCAGAGTCTGCTCCTCTGTCTGTGAGCCCGCCTCCCCCCGCCCGCACGGTGACGTAGCATCACACTTTTGTCGTTTATCACCTGTATTTAGTAATTTCATAAGAATAAACTTTTTCCAACAATGACAATCCGTCACATCGAGCCCTATGTCCTCGATGCACAATCAGACCCTAGTTATTTAGTTTACAGAAGTATACAGCGAGTTAGCGTCACTACTTACAGATCGAGGGGGTCCGAGTTACGTCTTTTACCGTGGGAATAACGTGTTTCTAGATCAGCTTTTGAGTAAGTCCAGTTCCATTGTCCCTGTAGTTCTGGAACAGTCTCAGTGAAGTGTCGCAGATGAACCAGTATTATAATAGATCCATCAGATGAAAAAAGTCGAGCCGCTGTCTTCCTCTTAAGGGCAAATCGTGTGTCATTTACACCCATAACACACTTCATTCAAGTTGACGTGATCCTAACACTTAGTCAGTGCCCAGACACTGACAAAACAGTGCCGGAGGCACTGAATGGCTTTGCTCCTGCTGTAGTACAGTGTAATCAATGGCGTCCTATGGGGGGGGTGGGTGACCTCATGATGGCGAGGTCACCCCCCCCCCCCCAATCACCGTTTAAAAGTTTTAAAGCGAACAACGTTCGCCTCGTTGTTCGCTTTAAAACGACGTATCATTTGTATTATAGGTTACTATGGAAACCTATATTGTTTTTGCTCAAAGATTTACATAAAAAATTCCTTGGTTTGGTTTCTTTTTTCTTCTACACTTTGAACCTTAATTTGACCCCCTGAACATTGATGAAAAGTTGTGAAATTTTGCCCAAAATTCAGAACTGGCAAAAAATTAATTTTTTGGGTGTTTATTTTTATGGGACAAAAAAAATGCCCGAACAGCGCCCCCTACAAAAGTCAGTTTACATTGCGCCTATGGGAGCGGGTCGGAGGTCAAGTTTGTCGTAGAGCCACGAAACTCGGTACACATGTTCCTCAGGTCAAGACATGAAAGTTATTATGGCTCCGCCCCCTGACAAACAGGGAGCTCATTAATTTCAACGGAAAATGGAAACATGAAAATTGATATTTTTCACACATGTCGGCTGGAAATTATCTCCTCCTCGGCCGTTTCATCAATTTGTCTCAAAATCGCTCCACATGGTCTAAACACATGTCCCATCAATTATTGAATATAGAATTTGGATCAGTTCAAAGTTGTCCGAGCAGCGGAGCGGCAAAATGTGACTTTTTTCCCAATTTTTGACAAAAGTAAATTTGCTCCCATTTGCACAAAATTTTAATCCATTGTTCAGCTCCAGGGTCTAGGTCAGGGGTGCTCACACTTTTTCAGCATGCGAGCTACTTATAAAAGGATCAAGTCAAAATGATCTACCTACTACAAAAATGCAAATCACATATTTATTTCAAAAAATATTCTTTATACCTACAATGTATGTTTATGTACATGCAAAACCGCATGAGCCAATATAGCACAACACAACACAATTACCTATGTACATTTTTTGTCATTACCCGAGTTTACTCTGATGACTTGCACTGAATTGAATCGGCCAGGGATGCATAGTCCGGAAAATTGGTGGTAACTCGCTGACAAGTTTGTCGTTGTTTAGCTTTCCTGCACTGAGCGCGGTTGTTTGCGCATGTGCAGTCACCTAAGTGTCAGTAAAACATTACTGAGTAAAACACAGATGTCATTTGACTGTGGTGCCATGTCCATGTGCCATGCCTGGTTTTTTTTAATCCAAATATTTCCCCTCCTCAGTTTATAAAATAATTTGCATCCACACATCTGCGTTATCAATCACATTTGTAACATTCCAAACATGTGCGTCTCTTACGTCCTGTCCTGCGTTGGGGAAAAACACGGAAGTGGGCGGAGCTTTGATGCAGACGCCGGTAACGGCACTTTTACAGTCATAGAAGACACTCAGAGTAAAGACGTATGTTTACAAGCACTGACCCCGTCCTCAGCCCTGGTTTAGCCCTGGTTTACCCTGGTTTAGTCCTGGTTTAGTCCTGGTTTAGTTGTTTTCGAGCGCGAGTCCCCGCGATCACTTTGCTGCTCTCTGATGTGGAGGATGTTTGCTGCTGCGAGCATCTCACAGCGAACAGTTTTTAAGGTAGTATGATCCATGCTTCAGTGATCAGAGGAATTTAGGGGGGTACTGTGGCGTGCGAGAACGCAAAACTCCGGTTATCTCTGTCTACACACAAATGCATTAATGGATTTTTCAAAAATCTCCACTTTGCCCGGAGTTTTTTGTATATATTCGTTTAGAATGTGTAATTTTTTATTTATTTAATGCGATCTAGCAATACTACCTTTGCGATCGACTGGTAGATCGCGATCGACGTATTGAGCACCCCTGGTCTAGGTCATTTGAAAGTGAAATAATGAAATTGACTCATTAGCGCCCCCTACAGACTATGTCAATTTTTTACATGGGCCTAATAAAATTTAGTTTTTTCAAAATGTTTGAAATTTTGCACATAATTCTGTTTCGTCATCTTGATTCAAAAAGTCAATGACAACATATGATTATTTTTTACCCTGTTGCCGTGGCAACGACCAACACTCCCCTGTCTGTCTATGCGAAAATCGTTAAATCTCTGAAAAGTACACCTCGCTCAAACATCAAACCAGCCTCGGCCGTGTCACTAATTTGTCTGAAAATCGTTCCACATCGTCTCAACACATGGACCATCAATAGTTGCATATAGAGTTTTAATTAGTCAAACGGTCTGAGCGTGACAGACTCCCAAAGTGTGGTTATTTTCATAGAGAGGTGTGAAGTGTTCATGTTATCCAATGGAGACTGTATGGACACACTCACAGATTGTATGAACAAACAGGAGCACATTCACAAACTCTGATTTGCACTAAACTTGACTCGGTTGTTCAACTCCTGGGCCTAGGTCACATGACATTGTGAACAATGACATTGGCCCATTAGCGCCCCCTACAGGCTGAGTAATGGTTTACATGGGGATACAGGTATTTAGGTTTTCTGTAATTTGATCTCATATTTGACCCACTTAACATGAAAACTCACCAAACTTTGCCAAAAGTTTTTTTCAGGCATAAAGTGTATTATTTTGGTGTTCTTTGGTATAACACTAAAAAAATTAAATTATAGGGGGCGCTATTGTACAACATTAAATAACACCATTTGCACATACAAAGTCCGATTTGCACAAAATTTGAATTGATTGTTCAACTCTCGGGTTTGGGTAAACTAATGCAGAAGACAAAATTTCTGCATTAGCGCCCCCTACAGACTGAGTCAAGTATTACATGGGGAGAATGAGGTTTACCTTTTCAAAGACACACACAATCACTGATCATAGGCATTCAAAATCCACAGTGTCGCTCCCATCAGGGCGGTAGGAAAATGGCGCGTCAGCACCACCTCCTTTGCGCGGTGCGGCGAGGGCCGTTAGATGCCGCTTGCGGCTTTAATTTTTATTATTTTTGACAAAAAACAGCATACTAATTGTGTATTGTTGACCCCGTTTTGACAAAAGAATTTAACCATTTTAAATACAAAGCAAACGGGGTCATGCGCGTCATCAGTGTGGTTTTTGTCACTGAAGTGGACCCGAGCGTTTCTGTGCCTTACGCTGGGGAAGGAGACAGATTGCTCTCTTACGAAAGATTGACAGAATCAATGAATAAACTACTGTGGGCTTGTGTATGAAGGCCAAATAGCATTGTAATCATGTTTAAAGCAGAGAAAAGTTAAGCACCGTGATATGGGCCCTTTAAATATAAGCTTTATACTTTGACCAATCCCTTTTCTATCTCAAATGTTTGAGATTAATAAACTTTGTTGCCACAAGAAGTTGCTGCTGGACAGACTAGGTGAAGGTCTGCATCTGCATGAATAAACTGCTTTACAGTTATGGATTCCCTGGAGGCGATTGTATTTTACCACTTGGAAAACTAGAAAAGTATCTCCGCCCCCATAGAAACTCCCATTGTTTAAAAAGTACCAGTGACATTTTCTTTTAAAGGCATTTGCACATTGCTCATTGTTGCTCATAGAACATCCAATTTAATGAACGCGTTTAATCACTTATTGCAGGGTAATATTTGGACAAATGTAAGATCTATTCCATTAAACTAGGTTAAAATAAATCAGTAACACTTTTTTATTCAATTCAGGTGACATAATAGTGCAGTCGCATGGTGTTTATGTAAAAAGTTGAAACCTATAAACATCCTAAACACCATTAGAATGTGACAATCTAGCAACGCCACGAGGACCTCCATCAGGATCAGTCGTCGCAGCACAGCGCCCAGGGGCCCATCTCCTGAGGTTGATACTGGGCTGGGAGATATTCTATTGTACATGTTTTTGGTGGTAGAGGAAACAAGCAACTGGAGACCTACACGGGGAGAACATGCAAACTCCACTCAAGAGTGTATAATAGTGCTAACCACTCAGCCACCATGAAATCCAAATAAATAATTCTCAGTTTAATAAAAGGATCAACAAACAGGTCGCTTTACTCCAGGACCGAGTTGAGTTTTCACAGCGTTTTATTGACTTTGTGTTTGGACCAGAGTATAAAACAGCTTTTAAAAATCATTGCATCAAAACAATTGTTCTGACTTTAAAATAATATATTATGCATACGGATTCTCAGGCCATTTCCACATCGTGTCAAAAATATATCCTCTGAATATTCTTGATAACTTTGGGTTTTGTTTTATTTTCTGTTATATTTGAGTGAAATGCAAAGAAGTGGATGTAACATTGAAATAAGACATATTAAACTGTACAGTAAATTATATACTTTACACACTTAAGCTGTATCTTATACACACACTCACACATTTAAACACTTCATCGTCTCATTCTTCAGGCATCCAGTTGGAAGTGAACGGGGACAGGAGGATTTCAATGGTCCTTTTTTCTGAGAACCACAGGGAGGACTTCATGGGGGGGCATTCGTCAAGGTTCATACATGTTCCAGCTTCCATTTGATTGATTTCATTTCACTAGATAAAAGTTCAAAAGTCCCGTCCTTCTAATGTGGGCGGGGCTGGGTAATCATCTTGAGTCGCGATTGATCGATTACATCTAGTAAGTTCTTGGCGTCGACGGCGAGAGCGTGAGCCGCCATCAACATCTGCTTCTTGTAGTCCTTTTGTAAACTTGGAAAAACATAAACGTCACATAGTAAACAACTAAAAAAAAGACACGAAAGATTTGGTTAGTTTGACCAACCTTGTCATGACGTACTGCTGCGCCAACTTCATCTTCGATATCAACTCTGCCAAATCAGAGTTCAGCAACTTCTGAGCCATCTCGATCTGGAAACCACACAATATCGTTATCCTCTGAGCACAGGAGAATCAAACAATAGAATAGAGAACACATGTTATTGGTCCATAGGGAGTTGACCAATGTTTATAACTGTTGGAGAATGTTGAGCTTCGTGGATCATCACAGTCCTTTTTGTCAGACCCACTAACTGCCTACTCTAGACCCTCCTGCTCATCTGGTCCCAAAGACCACAAAGAACAGCTCATTCTGGTTCATAAACGACTAACTTTAATCATATTCAAATGGTGTCGGCCTGTAGGTGATGTCTGCAACTTAATGGTATTACATATATTTTAATTATGTATATTTGAGGCACTGTGATTATGTACAGGATTATTATTACAGTATTCAACAATTTTATCTTAATCTATCTAAATAGTCCCACCCATTAACATAACTACAGTAAAGTAAAGGTGCACTTTATTGATCCCCGTAGGACAATTAAATCCTCTGCATTTGACCCATCCTGATGCCGCTAAGGCTTACGTCGGGAGCAGTGGTCGCCGTAGTAACAGCGCCCGGGAACCCATCTCCAGATGTTGATGCTCGGCTTGGTCAGGACCAGAGCTGGAGGATTTAACTTAGTGTGCATGTGCTACTACGACCAGTAAGATTTGCTGGAGGAGAATGTCTAAACCAATGACAAGGGACCTCAAGGATTTGAATTTGTTTTGGCCAATCAGGAAGCTGCGCGGTGAGCATGGGAAAAGGAGCAATATGTAAAAATCTGGCCAAAAGTGGAACTGCAATCACGGCCAATATTCTGTAGTCCTTTCCCACTCCTCCTGACTCCGGTTGCCAGATATGCAAACAAATCCAGCTGGGACCATAATAACTGAACAGACGAGAGTTTTGTCACCAACAAATCTATAACCAACACCTTTTTCACAAAGATAGAAATCCTGGTTTTATTCCTTGTTTTGTCGTTAATGATTTGAGAATCATAACGAGACCTTTTTTAGTTCTGCGCCACATGGTACTTTACCGCTGAGATTAGCTCGACGCGGTGAGTTCTGGCGCCCGGATCACGGACTTTCTGATTGTTTTCATTTCGATGTCCCGCGCTCCACTGTTTTACCAATTAAAATATTTAGGGCAGTGGTCTCCAACCTGTAGCTCGGGGGCCACCAGTAGCTCACCAGCCCCTTTCAGGTAGCTCGCCAAAGGAGTTAGGAATGAACCAAATCAAATATTATTATACTTTGTGCACTAATGACGACTGTTGATATAATGACTAACCAAATATACTTCCCAAGGAGCGCCTAAAGGAGTAGCTCTCTGTATTTTTGTCTTGGGAAAAGTAGCTCCCTGGCTGAAAAAGGTTGGACACACCTGACTTCGGGGCTGTAAAACTCATTTTTAAATTTTAATATCCCGGCAGGACTAAAGCTATCAGTTAAAGAAGTATTCGTAAAGAGCAAAAGAAGCATGTTTTATTAATGCCTTTTGACATATCAGGAGCATTCAATGATGACTCGACGTAAAAATCTTACATAATGCTAAAAAAAAGATCAAACATTTGTCAGTTGTGATGCGATAAGTGCTGCAGAGATTAACCCCGAGTTTGAGCCAAAAAAAGGGTCATAATTGCCAGCACTAAACTTTTTACAACAGATAAAGTATTTACCTCTCTGTGTGTGCTGGCGGGAAGCACGGGAATAGTTTCATCGACTGTTGCCAACAGCGTCCTCAAAGCCAGACCCACTTCCTGTGAAACCATAAAGATAAAAGAGAGAACCATAGTCACTTATTCGTTACAGATATCGTTTTTAATGCAACAACGTGACGGTGCTTACCTTGACCATCGGCACGTACTCCTCTGGGGCAGCCGGCTGGATCCTGTTGGACATTTCGATCACGGCTTTTACCAAACCGGTCACGTTCTCGTACACTTTGTCGTTGGAGCGGTCCAGGTTTGCAGTGGGGGGCGGGCTGATCTCCTGAGGCTGCAGCTGAACCCAGGGAAAAGCAAAAACATGTCGGTGAGCGGGATGAGGCAGTTTGTGGGAAAAGTGTGAGACTGGACTGATGTTACACTAACAGACCACTAGAGGTCAGACTCGCTCTAGACCTACGGCTACAGCTACAATGCAAAGAATGATCAAATATTGAAAAAAGGTAATAAATGATTGAATTGGGAGTTCTTTTAATCTATACTTGTGTACATTTAGAACAATATTTAGGCGCATTGGTAATTTATTTCTCATTGCAAGGGAGAATTTTCTATTTCAGAACAAGACATTTTTGTTTTCGCTCATTCACAAATCTTGTTTCAGTCAAAATGTCCTCAAATATACATTTATAACTTTTCAAGCAATTTTTCTCTTCATTTTTGCCACTTTTTGCAGTGTAGTTTCCCACATTGCTAAGATTTTAGTACAGACGACATTAATATTAAACGCTGAAAACTAGCTCTAGTTTTTAATGGTACAGAAAATATCTATGAACTAATGAGACAGAGTTATGCTTTCTAATCTAAACAGCCACGAGACATGTGCTTACCCGCCACGGCTTTAGGAGAGGAGAGGGTAAAGAGAGGGGAGAGGGTAAAGAGAGAGAAGAGGGTAAAGAGAGGGGAGAGGGTAAAGAGAGGAGAGGGTAAAGAGAAAGGAGAGGGTAAAGAGAGAAGAGAGGGGAGAGGGTAAAGAGAGAGGAGAGGGTAAAGAGAGAGGAGAGGATAAAGAGAAAGGAGAGGGTAAAGAGAAAGGAGAGGGTAAAGAGAAAGGAGAGGGTAAAGAGAGAGGAGAGGGTAAAGAGAGAGGAGAGGGTAAAGAGAAAGGAGAGGGTAAAGAGAAAGGAGAGGGTAAAGAGAGAGGAGAGGGTAAAGAGAGAGGAGAGGGTAAAGAGAGAGGAGAGGGTAAAGAGAAAGGAGAGGGTAAAGAGAGAAGAGAGGGGAGAGGGTAAAGAGAGAGGAGAGGGTAAAGAGAAAGGAGAGGGTAAAGAGAAAGGAGAGGGTAAAGAGAGAGGAGAGGGTAAAGAGAGAGGAGAGGGTAAAGAGAGAGGAGAGGGTAAAGAGAGAGGAGAGGGTAAAGAGAGAGGAGAGGGTAAAGAAAGGGGAGAGGGGAAAAATAGGGGAGAGGGTAAAGAGAGAGGAGAGGGTAAAGAGAGGGGCGAGGGTAAAGAGGGGAGAGGGTAAAGAGAGGGGAGAGGGTAAAGAGAGAGGAGAGGGTAAAGAGAGAGGAGAGGGTAAAGAGAGAGGAGAGGGTAAAGAGAGGGGAGGGTAAAGAGAGAGGAGAGGGTAAAGAGAGGGGAGAGGGTAAAGAGAGGGGAGAGAAGGTAAAGAGGGGAGAGGGGCGCGAGGGAAAAGAGAGAGGAGAAGGGTGAGGGTAGAGAGAGGTGTGAGAGGGTAATGAGGGGAGAGGGTAAAGAGAAAAGAGGGTAGAGCGAAGGGAGAGGGTAAAGCGAGGGGAGAGGGTAAAGACGGGGGAGGGTAAAAAGAGGGAGAGGGTAAAGAGGATGAAGAGTTTTGGAGAGTGTGGGGAAGAGAAGAGGAACAGCACATTAGGCCAAAGCAAATCACAGGCTGAGTTTACACGGAGACAATGTGGCAGTAAAACGGTATAGTTGGATGTCGGTTTCTACCAACCGTTCATACGAAGACTGTGTTCCAGGGGGGTGAAAACGCAAGTGTTCAGATCCAGCCTGCAGAGTGGGACAACTCAGAAACGCTGCACAGCGGGGGCTCTCTTTCACACCCGCGAGAGAGAAAAAGGTGTGAAATCCCCCTCTGCTCTGACCCCCGCCTCCTGCTGCTCCCCGCACGTAAATTTGGACATGCGCAGTAGCGGAGAACAAACATCAACAACAATGGCGGCGGTCACACTAACTAGCTTTGTGGGCTTCCAGCGCGGGACAGAGGATAATTCTACTCCTTCGTTCGTCCAAACGAGACCACGCGAAGCTCTAGTTTCAGTTTCCATTTTCACAGCTGCTGTTAAAATGCAGAATGATGTTGGTGCGTTCTGAGGGTCTGGCACAGGAAGTGAGTACACTGCCGAGAGGGGGGCTGGGCACGGGGCTGGGGGTCGTGTGTCGTGTTGTAAAGTTTCTCTGCCCACTACTGGCCGGGCGCTAGAACTACAACCTCATGTGAACGCTGAGAAATTTGCATTAGGAGCCAGGTCGTTTCTGTTAATAGCCTGGAAACGTCTGCGCAGCGTCTCAGTATAAACAGGGCCACAGACACATGCAGCATCAGCACAGAGCAGAGCAGGCAACAACCACAGTATATAGTACACAAGTATAAAATATATTCTACATGTATACATTTATATACTATACATATACACATAAGTACCTTCACTCCTTCATTGTAGCTCTCCACCGGTGCCAGGCTGTTCAGGTTGGGCAGGAGAGGAGCACCAGGCCGCGGAGGCTTTTTGGGAGGAGCCACAGGTTCTGAAAGTAAGTATTTATTTTTATAGCGCATTTCACAGACAGAGGCAGTTTCATATCAGTGGAGGATTTGGAAAAACTGTGTGGCTCGTTTTTTCACAAACAATAGATTTAGTCAAGTCACGACAGAAAGATTCTTAGTTAAGTACAATGTTGTGAACAAATCCGACCAGAACCATGCCTCTGTCTTTTGCATAATCGTAAGAAAGGGCTTACACTTTTCTAGAAAGGTCTAAAAGATATGACAGAGGCCGATAAATGCATGCAGAGATGAAAAGCAGTGATAGAACTAAACTGTTTTGAGAGCGAGGAACTAGTTTGATGGATTTCTTTTGTATTTATTTTGGGCTTTGAAAGTTAGGTACCCCAGCTTTAAGTCATGTAATGAGGGGGATTGCCTAAAGTCGTTAATTTGAATATATAGTTAAAGGCTAAAGATGAAAGGGTCCAAATGTGTAAAAAAAATAAAAATAAAAATAATCAGCTTAAAAAACAAATTGTAACTTTATATCTGTTATTGTTTTTATTTTTTATATTTGTTATGTATTTATTATTATTATTTTTGTGTGGGTACATCTTGACTATGACCTGAATGCAGCAACACTGTAAACTACCTTGCACAATAATAACAAAAAGTAAAAATAATAATAATAAAAATAGAATTCACTGATTTGCACGAACAAAGTCAGAGTCATAGCAATCATCGTAAAAAAAAAAGCTGGAAAACTTAGATATGTATTTTATAAAGTGAACATGTGTTTTATCAGATGGTTTTGGTGAGGAATGTGTACATGAATTATTACAGAGAGATTTCATTGCTCTTAAAATACTAACAGAAATCAACTGATATTTTTTACCTTAAGATATAAAACCACCTCATAATTCGTAAAGATGCCCTCGTATTTAAATCTATGGTTCTGTTCCCATTTCTCCAAAACTCAGAGTAGTTCTTACCCGGTTTCCCGATGGGCTGATAGATGTGTTGACTCCCACTCTGCAAAGACAAGCAGCAGAGGCTCAGATGAAAAACACTGGTGACAGCAGCAGTTTCATAAAAGAGAGAGAGAGACGTCTAAACGCAGCCTTTGGGTATTTTTACATGTTCACACTATAATAACACTCGCACTGTTCTGCCTTTGGATTTCCCATGAGCCTTTGTGGTCATGCGGTCGGGCCATAGGCAAGTATCCTCCCCTGGTACACATACTTTCACGGCTTCATCCATTCCTCAAATGTAAAGTAATGGTAAAACTTTAGACATAAAAATATAAACAAATATTTTTCTAGACTGGTGCACGTGTAAATTTAGTGGTTTCTTTCTGGCTTTGTGATTGGTTGTCTATAAGGGTGTGTGCTAAAATAACAAAAACATTAAGTATTTTAATGCCAAAGCTAAGCTACTATTGTCTGATATGCCATCCATCAATCCATATTCTACCCCTTCATCCATTTCTGGGTCGGGGAGGTGGCAATCACAGCTGCCACACAAATACAGTAGCACCAGCCCATTGTCTGATATGGAAGGATCAAAATACTTGAAAATCCTAAAAAATGTATGTTTTTCAATCAACTTGTTGTTCCTACAAGATATGTTGCAAAATATCATGTTTACTGTAATGAACATTGCAAAAAGTAATGGGACTTAATCATAGTTTATAGTATTGCGTTATGAGCCTATGAATCTCAGCCTTTCATTCCACTGTGAGGAAAATGCCAGATCAAACCAGTGAAATCAGATGAATAACAAATGAGAATGTGAAATCAAGCGGCGCTAACTGTGCTCTCGCTACGTCAACAATGTCTGTTCTTGAAAGCTCTAATGAGAAGATGTGCATTCCTCTCCCAGCGTGACGTACCGGAGCTTGCAAGCTGCCGTCTTCGCGTTCGATGCTCCCTCTGCTGTTTCTCGCCTCGGTCTTCTGCTGAAAATATAAAACAAAAAAAGAAAAGAAATTTAGCACACACAAAAAAAAAAGTACAATCCCGGGACTTGAACCTGCGCATTTCCTATTTATATAAAAAAAGGCAGTGAATCAAAGCGTTTCCCGTTGCTATACAGTCACCGTTTGGTTGAAGCAGGCTTTGAAGAGATGCATCCTGGGAAAACCAAAGCGAACGATGGGAGATAGAACAGAGCTCCCGGAGGCCATCGAAAAGAGAGCGGGGTGGAATTGGGGAAGAGGCTATAAAGGGAAGTTATAGAGAAAGACTGAACGAGACATTACGATGGAGGTGGAAGAATGGCCTGGGCCGAGCGAGCAGCAGCATAAAAGAAGAAAAGCGGAGAAAAGTTGAGTCAGGGAAGAGAGAGAAGGCATGAAGTTTTCCAAAGAAGGAACAAGCCACAGTCCCAAACACATCCAGTCGTCTCTGTCTCCCACTCTTTCCATCTCTCCTCTCCTCCCTCTATTCTCCCTTTGCCAATCCCACTTCCTCTCTCCTAGACTCTTGTTTTCACCGCCAGACTTTGCTGCTATCCGTTTATCGGGAGAGCGGCAAATTCAGCTGTAAAAAAAAAAATCCAAAATCGGTGCTTAAAGTATTCCTAGTAGAGCCGGCTCGGGGCTACATGTAAATCCCTGTGTGGAGGCTGGTATCAAGTGTCGAGGAATGCGGCTGATTTTCCTTTGATGGAAGAAGGCGGTATTTATTGTGGAGAGGAAAGTTGGCTTCTCTATAAGAGGTCATGGCCACAGACGGGAGAGAAAAAGAGTTGTATCGTCGCAAATGCACAACAAAATATCTGACCACCTGCCTGTCCACGGGGGTTATTGTTTTGTCGGGAAAGTGCCACAGCATGACATTGTAGCGATAACATTTATATTTGTATTTAACATTTAGACTTATTTATTATGATAAAAGGTTAGAAATCAGTGATCACCACGATGGGCATCTCCGGAGATCTTATCCTTTCATTGAACCTGCTGGTTTCTCCCATTTGTTGCCATGGAAATACTTTTAATGTAATACTGGATCAGGTTTGAGTTTTTTTTAAATCATAATGCTGTATGCCGTAATGTTATTATTATCATTTTTTATTTTTTTTTATTGTGAATGGTATTTTACAGTAAGTGCTGCATTCGCTTTCTGGTGGTAGTGAGTCACAAAGTAACCACACAATTTTTTTTGTTTTGTTTTTTAAATAAATGACAAAAATAAACATCTACAGATAAATACCTACAATATTGACAGGAAAATAGCTACATTCACTCTTTTTCTCTGTGTCATGTGTAGAAATAGGAATTATATTGTGCAGAGACTGTGACGATGTATATCAGCCGATGACATTTCTATATTTAATCATGTTTTCTTATGCAACAATAAACATGAGGCCCATTTCAAAACCAGTGGAACAAAACTCTTCAGTGTCATAAATGAGTTTGTCCTGATCCGTCCTTTGGTGCACCTGGATCAAAATAAGAGCCACGTCAAAGCAAAGACCAAAGCAGGCTGAAAGCGGCGATAAGAAAAACAGCCTTGTTTAGAGGTTCTATCTGCTCTCAGGAATGTTTTAGGTCCAGTGAGGAGAGGAATGCAGGTGGAAAACATGACAAATCAATGTTTTAATACAGACTGAGAGCACTGTGTATTTACAGGACGGTACACGGTCCATCTGAAATGATTTTGGTACTACTGAGCGCAAGAGAATTCAACTTTTCTACAGTTTCATGAAAAGGTCACACAATACAAGGAGCAGAGGCATTAGTTTTCTAACTGCGGTGAGTATTAAGATAAGCTGATGTAAGGTTACTGTGATACTGTATGAAGCCAAACATTAGATTAGTGTTCTGTCCATGTACCTGTGCCTCCATTTCCTTTCCCCTGAACAGCACTTAAAGCCTAGCGTACATCGGACTGGCAACTGATTATATCCGTCGCATATGAGTTGCATCCCCGCACACATCGACAATCTGACGAAAACGGGCAACTCCCAGTATCAGACCAGTCTCGGGAATAACAGCGCGTACATCGACAGCAACTGGCCTCAACTACAGTGTGTTTTCTGACATAAACTGTTGCGGGCGCGCAATACACGCAATACACACACACGTTGTCGGAGCGGCGCATGGAGCGCGCACATCGGGTCATATCTCCGAAACTGAGGACAACTAGTTGCTGAAAAGTAGAACACGGGCAACTGACTGAAACTGGAGACCGACTGTTCATCTCCAGTTGTAAGAGCGCGCACATCGGCCGATTTCAGCAACTGATCATCTCCCACCATCTCCTCTCAGTCGCCAAAAGCCGCCTTGCAACTAGTTGTCCCCAGTTTCTCTGTCGATGTACGCTAGGCTTTACAGTTAAAGACGCATGATCAGACAAATACACAACACACAAAAGTAAAAAGACAGAGGACTGGAGGATATATTATGATTGCAATCTAACACTAAACCGAACATAATGGAGCATAGGTAAACACAAACCATTGTTGTGGAATGAAAACGTCCAATCTGGATCACAAACTACTAAATACAAGTGACAGCAACAGGGACTAGCCTCCTGCTGGGACTCACACAGAGGATCACAAGGACTAGCCTCCTGCTGGGACTCACACAGAGGAGCACAGGGACTAGCCTCCTGCTGGGACTCACACAGAGGAGCACAGGGACTGGCCTCCTCACATCACTGTCCATTTTTAATTCCAGGTTCCAAGTAATCTGTATTGATATAGCGCATTCCACAGACCAGAGTCACAAAGCACTTTACAATTGTTGTTGGCATTAGTCTCTCACTCCACACAGATGGTCACTAAAAACTATTGTACATGTTTTTAGTGTTAGGGGAAATCGGAGCACCAGGAGGAAACCTACGCAGGTGAGAAATACATAGGGTATAAGAAACATACACTGATACAGAGTGGATTTTTTTGTTCATGATATTCACCAGGTACCAACCAATACTCAGTGAGTCTATTCACTGCAAAAAATGATCAAATATGAGATAAAAAAAAGGCTTGAATCGAGTGGATTTTATCTTATTTTGAGCACATTCTGACTGTCTTTCTTCAAGATTTGCCAGTGGAACAAGCCGTTTAGTCTCATTTAAAGAACTTGCTTTATTTTCTCATTCCAAGATAGATATTTATTGTATTTTATTGAAACAAGATCATTTAGCTTGACCCATCTTGTTTTAAGGCAGTCAACATGTGCTCAAATTAAGACCAATCTTTCCAAATTTGAGCAATTTTTTTTACTTTTATATCACTTTTTGCAGTTTTACAGTTTCAACGTTTATGAGAGTGGAGGTGTATTTGACGTTAGCTTTGTTTATAGTACGCACCATGAAGCTCTCCTCCTGCTCGAGCCACCGCTGGTCGTCCTCCATCTGCTGCTGCTGCATCATCAGCCTCTCCTCCATAAGCACCTGCCCCACGCACCCATTGTCCTGAGAGCAAAACCAACGAGGATTAAGGATCATGAAAACTGGTTTATAAAGACTAGCTTTGCTTTCAATTCTTTTTACAGAAAAAACAATAAATACATCCTGTAAGAAAGCACAACAATGGAAGTGGTTTTGTCGACTCATTTCCCCAAAAACAGGTTACATGACGATGGAAGCAGATTCTGAAAACAGCCATAAGTCTTTGGCCTTTCACCATAAACATCAACCTACTGTTGAATTGTGCAGTATATTATGGGTCAATTCAATATGTCCCAAACGCTGCTAAATATTTTTGACATAAGACAAAGCCATTATGAGCTCCGAGGAGGAGAAGTTTTCAATAAAAAATATTTTAGAACAGATACAATGGGTTCCTGCATTTCTATTAAAGGGGTCGACCTCTGGAATAACTGTACAGAGGAACTCAAACAGTGCACCTCTCTCTTTCATTTTAAAAGATTATATAAAAATAAGACTCTTGTCAGATACTTGAAATTTGTCCAATAATTTTCTGTTTCTGTATCTCCTTAATGGATAAACGGCCTGATGTTTTTTTCTTTTTCTTTTTTACTTTCTTTTTGTATTTCCAATGAGGAAAAACACAAAGGCACATGTTGTGTTGTAAAGGCAGGCATTATAAGCTTATGCTTCAGCCGACGCCTTTTCGGTCAGTGTAAAGTAAAGTAAAGTATCAGTTTGTACGGTACATTCTTTCTTTTTTTGGAATATTTTGTGTTCCTGTGGAAATTATCCTTGTACAACTTTGTTTTCGATGCCTGACCGAATAAACTAAACTAAAAAAAAATAATAATAATAATATCTATGAATAAGTGAGAACATTTTTCAGCGTGATGGTTGTAGATCATGACATTTTATTAGTAATGTGAGATTTCATAACACTTTTAAGCAACTTTTGTTAAAGTTAAACTGATCTTTCTATCAATGTGCAGAAGCCTGTACTTTTCCACTTCATGTTTTGTCTATCTGAAGGCCAAGCTACATGGCACCGTGGAAGCTGCTGATTGGAGGTCTCCATGCCTCCGCTCTGTATAATACACTACGCACAATACGCATTCTGTTGTTCGTGTTGTTCGTGCTGTCTCTACCATTGACAATAAAACATGTCTTCTGTCTGAATTAAAGACGCAATCCCAGACTTTGTCATCTTCTTCAGTAATATGAAGATTTTAGCTGAAGAGGGTTAAATAAGTAACAACATTTGGTAAAAAGTGACTGGGTTAGAATTGACCAAGATTTTCTATATTTTACCAGTGACAAAAATTGTTTCCATGTAATTATTTATGGAATGTGGAATTAGTTCAAGCACCTTTTGCAGCCTCGCTTTTTAGCATTTTTGTTGTTGTAAAATGTTGTATGTTTTTTTTTTTTTTTACAGTGTACCAGCTGATTTATTGTTGAAGCTGGTGAGAAATGTTAGAAAATGTCCTTCAGAGAACAGTGTATACAGTTTATGATGGAGAGTTTTATGGCCTTAAAACGTATCTGATAAAAGTAAATAATAAAGCAGACTACTGTGTTCTTGAGATTAAAAACGAGGGACTGTACCTCAATATTGTTGCTCCAAAGTGCCGTGTGCTCTGGTCTGTGCTGGTTCCAAGTCTCAGACTGTGGGTAGCTGCCTCCTCCGAGTCCAGGCGCCTATAGATAAAACAACATCAATAATTCTAATCTCATGTGATAAAGTGACCGGAAAAGTAATCACACCCGATATCAATAAAACTAAAAATGCTGCTTTTAAGTTAAGTATTTTATTGGGATTTTTGGCATAGATGGATTTTAACAAGGTTCCAAGTAATAATAATAAATGTTATTTACACAGAAAAAGTGATTTTAAAAAATAAGTTAAAAATTTCTTAAATTTGGAAAAATGTGTCTTAATTTGAGCACATGTTGACAAGATGGGACAAGCAAAACTATCTTGTTTGTAAAAAATACAAGAAATATCTCTCTTGGAATGAAAACGTAAAGCTATAGTTTTTTTTAAAGTAGACTAAACGGCTTATTCCACTTGCAAATCTTGTTTTAAGACGGTCAGAATGTGCTCAAAGTAAGATAAAAAAAACACTCAATTAAAGTCATTTGGCGCGTTAAATATAGCGGTTCAATGTGCAATAAGACAATATGGGAGTGAGAGTAAATTAAACTAAATTGAGTAATCTATAAAAAATAACAATCTAACTGAAACCGCTTATAAAAACTGATAATACATTTTAGGACCACAGACTGAGGCCAAATTTGGACAAAAATGTTGATTCATTGTCTTTTTCTCTCCCACCTTCATTGCATTCAAACAGCAAAGGCAAAAACATGTCCCTTTTTTTAATGTGGTCAGGTTCTTGAACTGGACCGTACCATTCTGGACCCACATTAAGCCTGTAACTGGTGCAGACTGCCGCTTTACCCAGGGCCTTTTTGCGGCAGCCGTTTGAGCAGAGATGGACACACTTCTCTCTCTTTGCCGAGCTTTTACATTTGGACTAACCTAGTTCCGTGTAAGTATCTGTAGACAAGATACCAGTAGCTAAATCTGGTTTCTACTGTATGTTGTTTTGAAGTTGTAAGAATGAGCAAAGATCAATTTCTCTGCAGCCTTGAATATGTGGGTGAAATAAAAGCTCTCATAATACACATGTTATTGTGAGTGCAGATAGCATCAGCTGGGCCCTTATACGGTTAACTGGGAGAGCGTGGCTTTAAGTGCTACAGGAAATGCCGTCTGTCTGCCTGGTTTATGAGGAGAGAGAAGAATCACGGCGGTGGAAGTCGATTCTTATTTTTCACCAGTGACACATTGACAAACTACAGAGCGGGTTTATTAGTGTGAGTAGAAATGTACAGTACAGTTTATGCATCAGGAGACAAATGATCAAGATATTGTTGGGTTTAGCACCAAAATAACATAGTGCTGGGTGTAAAGGCTTCATCTGGGAATATGTCGTATGCTGCTTTTGTTGTTGTAGTTGTTTGAAGGTGGGGTTCAACAAATATCTTACATTTGATGCCTTTTTACACTTCTATATGCAAATGAGCGTATATTCTGAATACAGTGATTAGACCTAAACTAAATACCTTTGCAAAGTATTCTCCAACACTATATTGGCAAATTTTACCATTTCAGGAGGTCACCATAGATCAACTTTTATTTGTTTAAAAATTGTCAAAATTAACAATACAAATAATCGTTTGACCAATCGACCGGAAAACTCCTTCTTAATGACTATTTAAAGTAACATTGATGTCGCATGTTTACTTTCTCATATTTTTTAATTTACAGGAGATCAACATCGGAGCTTTTAGAATAAATTCCCTTTCGGAGTTTGTGTTCTTACTTGAAAGTGGTTGTGCTGAGGGCTGGAGAAGTACCCCTCGCTGGATCTGGGACTGGGGTATCCGGGTCTGCTGGGCTGAAAACACAACACCAGCGGTTAGTAGGAGCTCATAGACACAAAGGCCGGGGAAAAATTCACAAAAACAGTTGAATTTTTTGGTCAATGTCGCCCAATATTGCGCTAAAACGTGTTTGTTGACTGTGTCTGAAACCTATATGCATTTTTAAGACTAAGACTTTAAGAGATCCTTTATTCCTCTCACAGTGGGGACATTTCAGTGTTGCGTTCCCAGTTACAGAACAGAAGGAATGAGGAGCACACGGCACAAGATCAATGAAAAATAACTCTACATAAAAAAAATTAAAAAAATGCCTTTATACTATTCTAATTGGGTGTTTTGCAATCTTTTCTGATCCTTTTGACTAAAGAATACACTATTGTAGATTAGAAGAAGAGGCTAGGAGTGCTCAGGGGTTCAAAAGTCATCAGACGCCGGTGCTCTTCAGTTGGGGCAAATAAGATAACCAAGTCAGAGGCATTTGGAGGTAGAGAATTCTGGTTTTAATTCGCAAATGCGTTTCAATGTGCTGTCTTCATCAGGGCTTGTAAAGAATGCCCAGGTGCATGAGCCCTACACACTATTGTAGTTTTGATCTTGATTTCTGATTCTGTTTTCTTCAGACAATATTGGGCAATGGAACGTGAAAAAATGTCTTGTTTTACCAGAAAAGAAGCAATTTCTCACTTGGAATGAGTAACTGAACTTGGCACTTGCTCAAAACGGCTTGTTCCATTTGCAAAGAAAGCCAAATTTCCTTACCTACTTCAAGCTAAACTGTACTGTATTTTTATAGATAGAGATATCTTCAGTGTTTGTGTTCGGTCCAGCTCTGACTTTACAAAGTTACACATTTGTTTGACAGATATAAAGTTGTGTTACTTTTGGCGGTGCTTCGTCAGGACCTCCGGAGTCCCAGGACACCGTGACCTGTCGCCTCTGCTCCATCCGCAGCCGCTCCTCCATCTGCTGCTTCTCCTCCTCCAGGATAGTGCTGCAAACACACACCGTTAAAGTCACTAAAAAGTATCAGCCACTTTAACAAAGATTACAGAAATATTCACCATTATTATGCAAAAAAAATAATAATTCTTTTTCTTTAATTGTGTTTTGTGTTTCAGTGAATCCAATTCACTTTAAATATATAGCACATTTTATAAAACAAGTTTCCAAAGTGCTGCACAGAGATAAAAGTGACACATTTAAATATACAGGTTTGCCATCATTATATGTATCAAAAATAGAAAAGGTGAAACTGAATACAGTGAATACAAAATATATCTAAAAAACTAAAACTAAAAATAAATAAATAAAAACATAAATTAAATAGGTAGTAAAAAACATACAGCTAAAACCTTGAATACATAGTTAGCACAATTTAAATGTATTTTAAAATGTCCAAACACATAATTTTAGGTGAATGTTGATAATGTTTAACCATTTAAAATATGTATTAACGATAAATACGTGTCAGAGTGTAACTATAGCAGACAAAATCACATTATGACTTTAAAAGGTGCCCGTTGTTTTAACCTCGGTACTAATACCGGCTGGAAATATTTGTCCGTAAAAAAAATTTTGTGACAATGATCTGAGAAGTACCTCAGTTGTGTCTTGAGTTCCGTGAAGCGCGGCCGTTTGCTGGGATCGTACGACCAGCACTTGGTCATCAGGCTGTACAGAGTGGGCGGGCACTGAGGGGGCATAGCCAATCGCTCGCCGTTCTCAATCCTACCAATCACGTCGTTGTTCTTCACTCCCTGGAACGGCTTGATACCATACATCAAGATCTCCCACATACACACACCTGGGCATACAGCAAAACAAAGGCGTGTAAATAACCAGAACGCGTTTAAAATTAAAATAAAAATCGTAAATATATAATAATAATCATGTATATAGGTCTATGAGCTCACCAAACATCCACACGTCACTGGCAGAGGTAAATCTTCGGAAGTTTATTGACTCAGGAGCCATCCACTTTATGGGGAGTTTGCCTTTAGACGCTAAATGAGAAAATACATTTAAGAAAATACAGAGGCAGCAGTTCAGATTCAGATTCAGTTTATTTGCCATTTGCAGTAAAAAAAACACATTGGAATACACTAGCAAAAAGTCTCCAGTGTGCACAGACAAATACAGACACAAAACAACATTAAAAGAGCAGTGAGCGCTCTCCACAGATTTGACCTGGAAATGAGCCTCCTCACCATGTGTCTAATATACATGGATACATCTTTTTACCATACCGTGAATTATTTTAGGCACAACAATAACAACCAAGTGGCATTTTCTCCATCGGAAAAGTTGTAAAAATGTAAGATCAATGTATTTTTTATCCCCACTAATAGTATGTAAAGTTTAGTATGAAAAATCTTAGTTTGAAAGAGAATAGCTCAAAATAAAACAAAAGTATTTACCATACTGTGGATTATATTAGGCAAAACCATAACCGTTAAATAAGACACAAACAAGTTGCATTCCCACCATCAGAAAAGTTGTTGAAATTTTAGATCACAATATTTTTAAGCCTCACTAATAGTATTGAGTGTGAAAAATATTTATTATTTCTGATGCTGTTTATGATGCTGTCAGCAGAGGGCAGTAGAGTACAACCACAGTGTAGACTACATAAACGTACCTTTGTAATAAGAACTATCCTCCATGTATCGTGACAGGCCGAAGTCTCCCAGCATCACGCAGTCGATGGAGGACACCAGCACATTCCGAGCCGCTATGTCCCTGAGGGTTAAGTCAAAGGAGCGTCAGACTTCACAAAAGGAAAACGGATATTGCATTTGTTTGATAAATAGTAGGTACCTGTGCACAAAGCGCTTGCTCTCCAGATAAGCCAGAGCGGTGCTGAGCTGGTAGGCAAACAAGATGAGGGAGGCCAAGTCCAGGCTGTATTTCCTCACCTGAAGGAACGACCGCAACTACACAGAATAATGAAAACAAGTGTAAGGAACTAAGACATTGATGTATTGATAGCTGTAGGTAAGGTAATATCTTCTTCTGCTGGGATAAGAGCAGCAAAATATTCTGATTGCGACAGAGTTACATAGTCTAAGAGGTACAGTATAGTATAGGAGGGAAGGCCCAAGTTTGATTCATTGAAATGTAAGATATCAAGCACTATTACATAAATGTATAATAGTAATAATAATTAATGGTTCGGGACACACAGACACTTCCCATGTCCCATAATACAAACTATTGTAGCCACAGCTGCCCTGGGGCCCACTGACAGAAGCGAGGCAACCAGTACGTGCTATCAGCCCCTCCAACTACCACCAACCATTTACACACAGCAGAATCATTCTAGGCAATGTGGGTGAAGCGTCTTGCCCAAGGACACAACAGCAGTTTGGCACTTTACAGCTGAATCCGCCCCACTGTGGCAACTGGTGTTCCCATAGGTCTCCCATCACAGTACTAACCAGAGTAGACCCTGCCCTGCACAGCTTTAGAGGTCTGATGGGATTTTGCAGTATGTATAGGTATATTCCTCTTTCCAAACCAGGCCATTACAATATGTGGTAATATTAACACTGGGAGGAAGTGTTTAATTGAATAAAACTGTGAAAAACAATATGAATAATATATGGATAGATAATTGTTTAGTCCCTTGTTCAAACTTAAAAAAGTGCTGATAAATAATACATTTGTCTCTTCCAACATGAAAAAAGACTCTTGTTAAAGTAAAATGTTGTGAACAATCTGCCGTCCTCATATTATTGGAAAACAGTCAGTCGTTTACCAGGAAAGAGCGCTGTGAGTCACTATATGATGCCATTTTGAGACTTGATTGGCTGAGGGAGGGAGGCCTTTCTTTTCACTTTTCTGTCTGAAAAAGTTGATCTACAGATGGGCAAAAATACATGTATGCGAAGTGTAAGAACCAAGCTGTTTTGAGGGCCAGGAACTAGCAACTCATGATAAATGTGTATACAGTACGTTCAAAGGCCCAGTTCCAGCGTGTACCTCTCCCAGGGTGCACAGCTCCATGATGATCCACACTGGGTTCTCCGTGATGACCCCGATGAGCTTTACGATGTGTGGGTGGTCGAACTGCCGCATGGTCACTGCCACAACAAACACATCCATCACCACAGATACAGAGACAGACACAGACAGAGACAGACACAGAGACAGAGACAGACACAGACACAGACACAGAGACAGAGACAGACACAGACAGAAAGGCACAAACACAGAGACACAGAGACAGAGACACAGAGAGACACAGCGACAGAGGCACAGAGACACAGACAGACAGACAGAGACAGAGACAGAGACAGACACAGACACACAGAGACAGACACAGACAGACAGACAGAGAGACACAGACACAGAGACACAGACAGACAGACAGACAGACAGAGACACAGAGACAGAGGCTAAACCAGAGCAAAAAGAAGAAACATTTCACTTACGCGCTTCTTGGAGGAACTTCTCTCGAACGCTGTCTGAAGTGCAGTTTTTACAGGTTTTAATTGCGACAGGAAGCGACGGCTTGTCCTGAATGAAAAAGACAGAAAAAATAAAAGTCTTAGTCTTGGATATAAAAGACAGTGCATGTGTCTCAAGAGCATCCATTTCACGTCTATAAATGATCGTAATTGATTTATAATAATGATATCAATCTGTTAATCACATTTTGTCAACCAATACCTCACTGAGACTTGTTTTTGTCATGTCATAAGGGACACATGGCTGATTGGATGTTTGACTAAATTAGGATGCAGTTTGCTCCACCCAGCAGCTACTCCACCTCTGCTGCTGTGACCTTAATAATATGGAATTATGTATTCATTTGTTTTGTTTGTATGGATGGATGTGTTTCTGCTGCTACTGGACACCTGAACGTCTCCTACGGGGATCAATAAAGTATCTATCTATCTATCTTTGGAAACTTGCATAGTAAAATACTTCTTCAGATCCTCTGAACCACTTCACGAGGAAGAATGAGGGCTGTTGTATAAATTAAACGCTGATCAATTGACATGGTTTGTATTAAACACAGGTGTGCCTTATATTAATTATCATTGGCCTCTATGCTAATTACAATGAGTTTTAGATGTTAGAGTATAAAGGGGAAGCTTCAATCGTAGAGAGACTATATCAGAAACTAGGAAAAGGTCAAAGTATGGCCAAACCACAAGTGGCCTCTGGGTGATCGCAGACTTGCAGAAAAACTACAAACGTAAGCATATGGGGAACTTTTATGACTGGCTATCACTGGAAAGAAACGAAAATATCAAGTGTCAAACTCAGGATAATACACAATTAGGGAGTGTAGCTTCCTGCTTTCTACTAAATGTTTTTCAGATAAGTGGTGAGATGTGGCGGAGGAACGAGGAAGCTGACCAGCTGCAGTGTTGGATCAAAGTTCAGACCAGACCAAGACCTGGTTCTACCTCTGGGCCCCAGGACACGCCCCTTTTCACATTTACTAAATGTAATCAATCTATGCTGTGTTAATCAGTCTGAGCAGAACGCCTGCTGACCTCCATAGTTTTTTAGGCCTGTAGGGACAGTTAATTTGGCTCAGCTCTTAGGGTTAGATGTGGAAATATAGGAGCTCAGAGTCTTGTATTAGAATTTGATTGTTAAGATAAGTAAATATCGTTTATTTGAACTCTTGAATATCTTGGTTTACTTTTCTGGTCCATCCATCCATCCATTTTCTACCCTTTAATCCATTTCTGGGTCAGGGGGGTGACAGTCAGAGATGCCACCCAAGTCTCATAGCACCAGCCCCTCACTGACCCTCTGCAGGTGGTGAGTCCACAGGAGGACGGCTGCTCTCTGATTGTGAGCATAGCCTTGATCTTTCAGTTTCTGGTCAAATTCTGAATTGTGTCCAGCCAATAGGGCCAAGACGTATTGGTCTGTGGGCAACATTGGGATAAGCCTGATATTAGGTTTGTGTTATTTCTATTTCGAGCTAAGGACATTGCAGTTGAATGAGACCCGTACCGGAAGACTGTAGACTCCTTGATGAACGTCCCCAAACTGTCCTTCCCCGATGCATCGCCCCAGCTCGATCCTGTCCCTCTGGATCTCATAGTCCCGCGCTGACACGGACACAAACATAACATTAGCATCAACATTATAAAACATGTTCACGGTATGAATCAAATACAGTATGCCATTTTGTTTGCAAAATATACAACAATTGAACATGGCGATCTGCATATCATTCTATTCTTCATATTTAACGTATCAAAGTCTGTCTGTCAATTATAATAAACAAAACAGTTTGACCACATATCCAGCCCTAAGTATTTAAATACTAATTCAAAGCATTCCAGCATTGAGTCAAATCTGCACTTTTTATGTATTTTATGTCTTGTGTTTCTGTGTTTTTATGTATCCATACTGGTGCTGTCTGCACATGAAGTTTCCAACGGATAAAACAAAATTTGACAGCTTATTGGAAAATTGCAAAGGTCTATAAAATCTCACATTTTCATTACAGAGGAAATCATTTATAATCAGTTGGACACAATTTGCAAATGTACTTTTTGAACAATACAGTACTGTATAAAACCAATGTTTGCAGATAGAAAAAAATTATAATTTTAATTTACAATGTCTCTAAAACATAGTATTAGTGGTAATTTGTAACTTGTGATCATTTTGATGCAATGTCAGAATCAGAATCTGTAATCTGTCCACTACATGAAAAATCTACCCATAGGTACAAATAAAATAAACCTGAAACTGATCCCAACTTATCCTCAGTGAAATATCAATTTTATTTTTCAAAATTGAGTCCTAACTTAAATCTTATTTTTTTCAATCTTTGCAGCTGTTTAACTTGTTTATTTGATCTCGTTTCAAAGTGATCTCCTGTTCCTACTGTCTAAATTGTGCACAGCAACACTGAAATTTCTCCACTGAAGACGGAATAAAAGCTGCCTTCTCTTTTAGAACGTTTAAGATCTTTAGTTCAACATTTCAAGTCTGTGCTTGTTGAAACTAACTCAGAGACATCGCATGCATCCACTCAACCATTGTACATCGATTCCTCATTCATTCACAATCTGCAGAACTAATTTCAGCGAGACAGAGGCCGACACAGACAGGAAGTTTACCTTCAACAACTCCATAGCTGACTGTGCAGGGGGAAAAAAGAGGAAGAGGAGGTTGAAAAGACAAGACGAAGAAGCAGCTGTAGGAAATATCTCAAAGACAAAGTGAGGAGCTAAAGTCTGTGTGAGTAAAGACATAAAACAGTTTCCCCCAATAGACTTTCGATTCATTTGAGACACACTAAATCTGAGACGAAAGGGTCAATACTTTTAAAAAGACTGAAAAGAATCCGTCCAGTTTCAGACTTGGCCACATAATCGAACAGCCTGTATAAACTTCCAAATTTATATTGTGGTTCAGTGGGACAAAGCCACCAATACTTACTTACTTACAGGCTTTGACCAAACCTCGGAGACAAAATTATGAAATGAAGTTGGAGAAAATGAATGGTTTGGGTAACGTTTAGACGACTCTGACAGATGTAGTGTTTTTGAACGTGACCGTCAAAAATGTTGATTCAAGTCAGTCCAATTGCCCTGGCATCGATTACTGCGACTAAACTCAACTGGAGCGTCATGCATGTCTAAAATAAAGTGTGTTTTTTAATAATCTAAAGCACTTACTTGAGGGCATCGTGTATGTATCCTCCTCATCAACTATCTCTGCGTAGTCGTCGGTTTCTGCAACAAAATAGATGGAGTTTGCATTAAAAAAAAGGTGTGGAAAATCTGAATGAAGAACAAAAACAAAAACAATGCTACTACACAAAATGTTGCACGCTACCAGGCTACTCAAACATGCTAACAAGCTATTGCTAACTCAGTCCGACACAAACACAGGCGCACATTGGGCTCAGTATGTCAGCTGGGGTTGTGTTGTGCAGGACGGGAGCAGTGGGGAAGGAGTCCAGGAAAGAGGGACATGTTTTTCAACTTTGGAGGTACTAAAGAATCTATACTAGTGTCCCGAATTTGTAAAATGTTTATACACACTTGTAAAAAAAAACAAAAACAAAAGAGCCCTTGTAAGTTACTATTCGCCACTGGGCTGAAAGCCGATTCACAAACAGGACCCCATCTCTTTTCTGTCTGAAAAATCTCATTTAAATTTGTGAGAGATTCCTAAAACAGTTTTGAGAGGAAGGAACTTGCATGGGGTTTATTATATCAAATCAATTACAAAATGAATACAACAAATAAATCACAAAGCTACAATATGTTTTTGAAAATATCACAACTTAATACTGTTAAATTAACAGGAATATTTAAGTATAGATTTGTGGTTATTTGTCATGTTATGGCTGATTGGGTCCAAAACTTAAAATTTAAAAAGGTATATTAGAAGGATTTTCCCAAATTTTAGGAAAGAACCGCCCTCTCCACCTTTTGAACAAAACTCTCTGGTCTTATTCGACGACCATGTATCACCAGAATGATTGAAAACTGGGAGGACCAATAATCTTGTTGATCCACCTGGAAGTAGAAAATCCTACAGTAGTAGATTTCCACCATTGCGTAGGGAGTTGAAGGATAATGTCATGTGAAAGTATTTATTTTTTGTCAAGGGGAAAAAGGAACGTCCAATATGCAGCAGACACACGGCGTGCCTAGTTGAACATGTCCATCATATTTACATAATGTACGTACCATGGACATTTTCATACTGTATTATACACAAGTCCCTGGCAACACAAAGCCCTTTTTGCAATTATAAGACAGTGGCATAAGCAAAAAGGCAGATGGCAGCGGTTAGCATTAAATCTGTGCATAAACAGACACTTGTAGACGTCTGTCCAGATGCGTTTAAATGAAGTGTTGCGGAATCAGCTGTTGTGGGAGATTCGAGCATCTGTCGCACTGAAAAAACCCGTTCACATGGGATTTATCAGCTCTGTGGAACGCGTGGCTAAATCGATCTGGAAGTCTAAAGTCGGCAGCACATTTTCTCACAAGAAGCTCCAGCCTCTGCCGTCATGTGAAGAGACTCGGTGCTTATTATAGAATCCGACGTGGATTATAGTGGTTAGTGTTGAGAGGATTGAGAAGTAATTGTATGGTAAATGATGATAATTTACAACAGATAGAAAGGTAGCCAAAACAACTTATCCAGGGCGGGCATTTTGGAATGATTTAGATTTTTGAAAGACGGTTTTTTGTTTCAATTTGTTTTAACATTTGAGAAATAACTTGAATTGCATGTGTGTCATTTGCATGTCTAAGTCGAATTTCTGAGTTTAAGTGATTCCTCAATTGCATAGATTAGCCCTCAGCATGAGCAAGCGGCAGTAACATGGATAGAGCCGGTATGTTTTCTCTTCTACCTCCAGAAAAGCAAACCAAACTGTGGCTTTGTGAATCAGAAGGTATAAGGTCTGTATTTTCCACTTCTAGTCTAGATGTTGTGTGGCGATCTAGTTTTGCCCGTTACAGCCAGGAATGTAGAAAAGCTCTCACTATGACTGTACACATGTGTAAGAAGGATAGTCAGCCATTGTGGTGTAAACCGGTGTTTTTAAAAGGAATTTTATGGTGTTGGTTCAAAAGAAATCTTCAACTTTCCCTGACAGTTTTTCATTTCACTACAACCATAATCTCAGGTATAAATTGAGTCCCAATCTGAAAACAAATGTCTAAAGATTAGGACCAGAATGAAACATGCTATGAACTTAAGCTGAACTCTCTAAAAGCAACCCTCGTGTGCCACAAATCAATTGGTCAACGCGACAGACAAAATGAAAAAGTGTCCGCAGTGAGTCTAGCTACAACACTTGAGTAAGCAGGGTCGCTTTTGTTTACAACATCCACCCACTCAGCGAAAACACACAAGCCTTAAAGAAGAGAAAAAGACAAGACATGCAGAAATAAGAGAGCTTCCATAAACATCAGTGAAACGTTACCATCCCCACTGAGGTCTTCTGCAGCGGCGTCCAGAGCATGCAGGAGGAGTGCAGCGAGAGCAGGGAGCGAGAGAGAGAAGTGGTTAGAGTTTCAAGCGGTTTGGGCAACAAAAACAAAAAAAGTCTTCTTCTGTAGAGTCAATACACTCAGCGAGCCGTTAGCAAAGTGATCCCAAAGACATTAGTAGCACATGGAAAGAAAGCGTTTGTAAATAAAAACAATGGAAATGTAAAAATATATTATTGGAGGCGAACTGTTGAACCACTGGCTGTAGTTTCAGATCAAGACAATGGGCTGTTTGATTGTTATGTTTGGTCTTGTCTCTCTGTATTAAAATGGACCTAGAGTCTGTAATAACGTTGAATTGAAATTGAAAATAACAGTTTGCGTGTGGGTCCAGTTAAAAATCTCATGCAAATAAGATAGTAGGTAATAATTATGTCAAAACGACTCAGTTAACTCATTGACTGCCATTTGTCTTAGACCCTGTATTCGACTGGGGATAACAGGACAATACATATAGCTAGAAACAAACTTCTTTTTTGCTGATCAAAGAAGACAATCAAGTCTTTCAGAATCTGGTTTTATATTTCACATAATCTTTGTAAATGATAGTCTGTGGGTCTTGAGAATCAGTGAAATCATCAAAAACGGCTGGCAGTCAATGAGTTAAGTTTGCTAATTATAAAAGACTGTTAGCATAGACCGACAACACACGAGAGGTGAGTCAGTGGAGTAGAGCTAAAAAGTCTTATTCACTTTGGAAACTGAGGGAAAGTAAAACTACAGTGTTTTTAGCCCACAGTACTATTCCAGCCAAACATTCATACAGTATATATGAACCGTCTCTTTCTCTCTCATTAAAAAAAAACAATTCCTTAACAAAACTTATGTATGGAGTTGATAAGAAGGAATGAGAGAAGTTGAGTCACCATTGTCTTGAAAACAGTGATTCAAGTCAGAATGAGAATAACACTAAGAGGCTTTGGGGCTTCCCTAAAGTCGCCTGAATATTTCTGCTTTTTCCATTTCCTTTTTCCTATATTATTAAAGACGACTCCACTGGATTTTTGTGCCTCTGGACTGGATTTAGCCTCAACCGTTTGGCAGTGAAGAAACAAAACAAGTTCATTTTTTCACTTTGGATACTGGTTTCCATCCATGGCAGCTCAACAACACACCACACTCCTTCATTGCGTTGTCTTGATGATTGGCCTCCAGCTGAGGATCGTCTGCATATTTTCAACTCTGAGTCTTCTTTTTAAATCCCACAAAGTGCTTTTGTAATTTCACGTTTGCCGTTTGTTGCGTGTCACATTTGGACACAAAAAATGTCTGGAGTGCTTTGTAAAGGTTTCACAACAACAACATCACAGCTGTCCGACAGATCCAGAACGGCTCTCTGTGAGGAGCAAAGACATGACTCCCATAATGCAATGCAGCACACTCTTCTGCCATGCTTGGGACCAAACGCTTTGTAATCAACACATTTAAGAGTGTTGCAATAATAACAGTAGTGAAATTTAACTTGCTCTGTCTAGTTACATTTCAGATAAAATCTCATTGATGCTTTATGTAAATGCAGCCAAACCAACCAGTTATGTTTGAGTTGCCACACAGAAGCCAGAATGTACTACTTCAAGTTGCACTATGTAAATTATTGCCTCTAAAGTTGGCTACATGCTTGTCAAATTAAATCAAAAATTTGCTTGGAATGTTACATGGTGTGGCATTAAACTCTTCCATGCTGTTATTCCATTGTGTACTGACCAGTAACTAGCTTTCTTAGGTCTTCATAATCTGCAAGCCATAATCATCATCAAAAATACAAGAAATAAAAGCTTGAAATATTATTCACTATGCGTAAAACATCTATTCAAAGTGACAGTAAAGATTGACAAACTTTATCAAACTCACAATTCACAATATTCTGATGTTTAAGCTTTACTAGCATTAGGATAACACAGTCCCTTTGCTAAAAAGGGATATGCTTTGTTGTGATGTGGTAGATAAAGCATCCAATTTTCCTCTGTTTAAATAGAGCTGCACAATAGTGAGAATAAATGCAAATGCAAGAACAATTAAGCACTTTTCTGCAGTAATAGAATTATACTTGTCAGAACCGGACTCATGACCAGGGATACAATAATAGAGTAAATCTGGGTCAAACTGCTTTCTTTTTTCCCTCAAAAAGCAACCATAACTTTGAAATCCACGCATCCATACTAACACACTACAACAGAAGACTTAGTAGTAGCCGATATAATAATAAGTAGTAGCTGCAGCGTACGACTTGAGGAAAAGTGCATTGAATTGGTGGTTTTTTTAATCCGCCACATCACAACTCCATGCAGTCACAGAAGCCCTCGAGATACCATTGGGAGGAGAGACTGAACAGAAGACAAAGGGGAGGAGGAATCGCCGCGCCTTGGTTGGCTTAGGAGGCGTCGAAGTCATGAAATCTTGAACCAATCGGACGACAGAGAGAGAAAAGTGGGTGAATGGCTGGATAGATGAGGTGAGGAAGTAAACAAAAACAGCAGCTGGGACTCTGAGGAGGACGTCCCGAACAATGAGAGGAAACACATGTCGGAGTGGAAAGACAAGATGAGCAGATTTGTGACCTAGAAAAAAAGCATCTAGAGCGAACTGGGACAAGGAGACGATTCAAAACGCCACTTACCTGAAACGGAAATTGCTCTTACTCCGCTTCGGACTGCCTCCAACTTTTTCTCATTATTGGACAATCTAAAATGAAAGCCACTAGTGAACACATGACTTTCAATAAGATGTAAAAGAGATTCAAAAAGATTCAAAGAGATGGATGCCAAAAGAAAAGTCAGAAATGGTCTTAATCATTCCACTGTCCCAAGAGTAGTCTATGAGTGAATCTCTACTGCTCCACTGGTCCGCCGTTTCTTTACATTCACATCGGACGGAGAGAGAAAACACACTAGTCCTAGAGTGGAGAAATGGGAGGAGACTTTGACTGTTTAAACCAACCCAAAGTGGAAAATATTTGGCTCCTAAACTTATCTCCTTATTTGACCACAAGCAAAGGCAGCAGCGAGGCGTTTAGTTTGAAAAGAACCAACTAATGCTGGGATTTCCATTTGAACAAAAGTAGCTTCTGTCTGGAAATGAACAGAGTTCGCTAGAATGCAAAAAATGACAAACTACTTACTTTGGAAGAGATGGTAGAGCTCTCTCTCCCTCTAGAGGAGAAAAACATACGGACAATAAATCACCGCTGCTTTTTGTCAAGTGACAGCAAATAAGGAAAAGCAGGGATATGACTGGATGCAGCTGAACTATGGAGAACAGCTGAACAAGCAACAGAGAATGAGGGATGGAGCAAAAGATTAAAGCAATCGTGTTTGTTGGTCAGACGAGAAATATGAGATCTGCAATTCAGCCAGACAAAGCTGAAGTGAAGCTCCTTGAGGACAGCCATAGATTATTAAGATTGCCAGAACTGTTTTAACTTGTTTCAAGCAGTAAAGAGTGTATATATAGAGCTGCAATTATTATTAAGCGTTTTACACATAGACTGTATATAATAACGGACAGAGTCACGCCTAGCTCCGCCTTTCATAGGAGTTGGCCATGAAAAGTGCTTTCATGGAGTAATCCAAGATGGCCGCGAGTGGTCCCGCCCACAAGAAAATTGTGGAAAAACGTATCTGCGCATGCGTCAGCTGGCGAGAGCTTCGTTCATTTGAACGAGAGACTTCAAAAATTCACAGCAAGTAAACTAGAGTGGACCAAAAAAATTCACCCCCCTCAGCATTGACACACATGTGGAACGGAGCTTTGGGCCAAGAGCCAACTTTTGGTCCATCCTGTAAAGACGTTTTTGAGAGGTCTACTAACGCTATATGTTAGCATTGGCTAATTCTTCTTCTGGGTCCACCCCCATCGGCCCGGGGTGGTATTGCAGCATGTCAGCGCACGTCATTTTGGCGACTTTTGAGCTGGGACCCTCCCCCACTGGTTTTACACCAATGCTAGCTTTAAAGATGGGGTACCTAACTTTTTCTTTTCCATAATGAATGTATTGTTTGCCCAACAGAGTCTTGTGAAAGTAAAATAAAAATCAGAGCCCAAACCGGACCCCATTGCGTCACTATTTGACTCTTTGGGCTGAGTGAGGGTGGTCCTCTTTTTCCACTTTTCTATCTAAAAAATCTGATCTTAAGCCGTGACAGAGGCCAAACTAGTGATAGAACCAAATGGATGTGAGAGCAAGGCCCGAGATGGATAGATTTTATTGCATAGTTTCACAATATAAACAGGCTTTAAAGGAGCAATATGTAAAAATCTGGCCAAAAGTGGTACTGCAGTCACAGTCAATATTTTGTAGTCCTCTCCCACTCTCCCTGACTCAGGTTGCCAGATTCACACCAAATCCAGCAGCAAACACAGGGAATTATTTTATCAGTTGTTTGTCCGTCTCCATTCACATTGCCATGACAGCCGTGCTAATGCTGAATGAATGTTTTGATTAATGTTTTTTTATTATTATTATTTGGACATTTGAGATAAAAAACAAAAACTAAATAAAAGCAATGTAGATATACATAGTTTATGCAAAATAAATAAGCAATTGATGTCCAAAATAGGAGTGGGAAGAATGGATGTTGGAACGTATTTCTTCAGCGTATCAACATCAGGGTTTGCTCAAGAGGATATCACCTTTCAATTTTATTTATTCCCTATTTTTTAGACAAACATGTAAAAGTCCCACATCAAAAAGAGACTAACATTATTTTAATTGGGGTACATGTGGTCTTAAATGATTATTTTTACAATTAAGCTATAATCTGCAAAAAAACGTCTTGACCTTCATCTTTTACCGTTTTTAGAACAATCTGTCATGGAATGTGATAACATGCAATAAATACAAAAAGACATAGCCCGGTATCGAACCCGGGTTCCTGCATCTTAAGCGCACAGTTTAGACCGCTAGACCACCGATTCACACGAGTAGAGACACTGTGAAGAACGTATTCAAACTAGAAAATTCTGCATCACACGTGAACTTTTATCAGCTGTCTCAATGTTCAAAGGCGTCCCGATATAAGTCCTCGTTTTAGTCTTTGTTTTGTCATTAATGATTTGAGAGTCATAACAAGACCTTTTTTAGTTCTGCGCCACATGTTATTTTACCACTGAGATTAATGAGCCGCGCGGAGTTCTGGCAACCCGATCACGGACTTACATGACACTTCCTGATTGGCGAAACGGCGGAGGGTAGGACATCAAAATCAAAACAATAACAACTTTTACGGGTCGTAAAACTAATTTTGATAATCAAATATCTCGGCTGAACTACTGTTATGAGTTAAAGATTAATTCGAAAAGAGTATGATTTAATAACGCCTTTTGAAATATTCGGGTCATTTAATGATGACTTGACATGCAAATATTACATATTGCTCCTTTAAATTAGCACACGTTCATGCAGAAGTAGTCTGTTATTTAGATCTAGATTTAGACTTTGATCAGTACCTTTAATATCATCCAGCGCTATACCTTTCTGGACCCGGACAATGAAGGAATGCGTTTCCATGGATACGAGCCGACAGTAGCCATCAATCAAATCCGCCAGGTTTTCGGCCGTGGTTAGGGAGGCTGTGGTCACCGTCAGAGGCTGCACCCACACAGAAACGAAGATGAAAAAGATCAGCTCATGGAGCAAAACAAAGTAACGTTTTCTGGAATAGAGTGAGAGCTCCAAAGTCAGACCAAAGTGTTTATGAATCTGACGGACTGGCTGAAGGCAAAGTCTCACCAATATGAGGAATCCTTGCATGTTTACCCACCGACTGCACCACGACAGACCAAGGAGCAAAGAAGATTTCTGGTTTCTCATGAAAATGCTATTGCCTTGTTAAGTGAATGTTATACACAACAGCGGCGTATCGGTCTTATCCATTACCTTGATAACATGTTTTTAAGTACACTATATTACTACAAACACTATTGACGGTATAGAATATAGAAGTAAACATGTTTGGGTATTAGTTCTATGATATCGCTAGAGCCATTACCCCAATAGTTTACGTTCATACTATAGGATTCCATTTCAGTTGGAGGGCAGGTGCCAACACAACAAGAGTAAGAAGCATTTTTTTTTTGATAGATATGTTGAAAAAGAAAATGTACATGTTTTCCCAAATCATTCATAGTTATTAGATTCACAACACTGCCATTATTCTTGGATATGAACGTTCTTAATGGCTAACATCATGTGTATGTTTTTGACACCTTTATGAGAATTAAATTAGGACCATAGTTGATAGGCACTGACAAAAAAACATGTAGACCTAGAATTTTGACTAACCACCGTTACCACATCCACCACAATGTAAAACTACAGGCTCTTTGGACTGTTGTGATTTCTCAAACAACGTGGTTCACTTCAAGATAAATAACAGTTAAAACATAAATCGGACCCATTTTGTCATAAGTTATCGGTGATGTCGTACCTCTGCAGCTCCAGCCACATTGAGTTGGATCATGCCTTTTCGCTCCTTCTCCTCCATGCACGAGTACTGGATGGACTGCACCTGGTTAAAGTTTGCTAGATGGGTCGGCTGGAAAGGAAATAAAAGGTTTTACAATTACAGTAAAAAAACAGATTCATTAAGCAACGTTAAAGCTGGAGCACCTGACTTTAAAACCACAAAAAATTGAACAACGTAATCAAATCAATCTAACTTTGCTCTCTGAACAGTTTGGGTCTAATAAGACAAAGAAAGCTTGTTATTGTCTGATTTGTTCGCAACATTTTGTAATGTGTATTATTTATGATGAAAAAAGTTTAGTACCCCAGCTTCAAATCACTTATTTGGGTAATCATATCAATAAGTATCAAATCAAAAGATGAATATGGTAAAGTAAAAGGATGTACTCACAGTGGACCCCTTGTCAGTGAGGTAGCTGATCCCTTCCTCTGGTCCAATAGCCAGCTCCACCTGGATCACCCAGCTGGACTGTTGGCAACATTACATTGTGTAAATAAGGTTTTTTTTATTTAAAATCTCTTTTAATTATACAGTAGAAGCAAAAATATGTGCATCATAAATGTTATATGTTTACTGGTCTATCTGTTTAATGAGTATTAAAGCATATAGCATACATTCCAATAACAGATTTTGTCGATTTAGAATTTTAAACAGGACTAATAATCTGGCATAAGATACGACAGGGATCGAGGCACCAAATTAGCCTGGATTCATGGATACTAATATGGCTCATCTATACACAACTAAACTAAAAGTTTCCATATACGTTTGTTCTCACATATTTTTCCTTTTATTTTATGTCTGTTTCACATACACTTCTTTGAAAATACTTGAAAACATACATTTGTGATCAACATAAAAGTTTCAAATTGATACATCGGAAACCATTATGATCTAGACCAGGGGTCTCCAACCTGTGGCTCGGGAGCTACCAGTAGCTCGCCAGCCCCTTTCAGGTAGCTCCTCTAAAGATCATTAATTTAACACATGATCTTGAAGGATTTACTTTTGAGTCAATACATGTCTATTATAAGTATTATAAATATTTGATTATACAGTATTATGGTATATTTTACAAGTGTTATAGAGTAGCTATCTGCCTCTTCTGTTGTATAACAGTAGCTATCTGCCTCTTCTGTTGTATAACAGTAGCTCTCTGCCTCTGTTGTACAAAAATAGCTCTCTGATTGAAAAAGGTTGGAGACCCCTGATCTAGACCTATTCAAATCAGGTGCCTCTTGCAGTGACACACTGATCCCAAAAGGGGGCAGTCTCACACCACCAGCAGCACCAGCTCCTCAGTAAATTAGTCTTTAAACACAGCACAGAATCTTACCCCCAGGGCACATTTAAAGCACTCTTTGTCATAGCGGTAAACCGGAGTCAGGATCTCCAAAAACTTCATGATGCACTGTTCGTCATTGAGGTTGGCCACTTGTTTGAACGTCTGCTGGATCAGCTTTCGAAGCGTTTTGGCCTGGAGGACAAACAAAACCCATGTTGAGATATATATCCCATTTCAGAAAAAAGTGGAAGGACAAAACACTGTAGTATTTCGAGCCTCGATTTGTGTCCACTCCAGTAACAATCCAACTGACCGCTTCATTTCCAGAGAGTGCTACGAGATCAGATCAATGCTACTCACTCACTCACTACTCCATTAAACCTCACTCTCCATTTCTAAGTGGTGTATGTACACAAGAGGGCGTTTGCATTTTGCGTTGAATTTTCAATCTGATTTCAGTTTTAGACCCATCATGAACGATTTAGTAAAGGCAACAGACGGGGACACTGCTCTCAATGCCGTACGTACAGAATATGCAGTAAGTAAAGTTAGTACCATTTCATGCTGTGTATATTGTCCTAGGGGGCTTTGGAATTGATTTTTGTTTTACTGTACTGACATAAATCCAGGCGCATACTGCATAACTGCACGTATAAACTCCACTTGTTTGTACACATGCCCCTAACTCTAAATAGTCCTTCATATAGATTAAGATTAGAGCAGATTAAGAGCAGAGCAGCCTGGGTTCAAAAACACAGATTTAGAGTTGTAAAGTCCATCCAGGTCAAAGTAAAACGGCTTTTTACAGTTCACTGCAAATGGATTTATTGAGAAAATATAACTGGCACATTTAACGAGTCACTGCATCAGTTCACATAAAAAATGCCACGAGCAAGAGCAACCCTGGAGTGGGAACAGGATGTGTAGGAAATAGATCCAAACGATATAATGTGGATATTACTAAAGGGGTAACATGAAAACTGAATAATTGTCACAAAAAAACACTACATGGGTCATATACTGTATATTTAGATTTTGATGCATTGCAAAACTATACATTAAATACATGAAAGAACTATTATATTTTCCCAAATCTACTGCCAGACCGATTAATTAATAAATAAATAAAATAGTGAATAGGGACAGTACACATTAAATAAAAGATTGCTGTAAGTGTGTCAGTAAGTGTGGGCATTATCTAACAGCTAGTTTCCATCTGTAGTCCCTAGTGGCTTCAAAGTACACTGCAAACATTACAATATAAAACAGATAATTAAAACATATAAAAATACAACACAATAGCAAACAACACATTATAAGTGGTTTGATAACTTTGCTCTCTATTCAAGGATCCCTGCAACTTTCTGAGGATAATTTTCCCATCTCGCTTTTTTTGGTTTTGAATTGTCATTTTTTTATTGCTCTCAAATCCATGCATTGTTTGGGCAGAATACAGCCTGTTTAGAACATTTGACAGCATTCAAGTGCAAATGGATTAGGTCACTTAAAGAATTGATTGATCCATGTTGATCTCATTGATTCTTAGTACTTACTTAAACCACACAACAGATAAGGGAAAGGGCTTGGACAACTCAAGTACTTATGTTTATGCTCTTGTGACCACTCGAGGGTTGGACATGCTCAAAATGTCAGCTGTAAAATCACTAACACAAGGAAATTTTAGAATAAATTAGGTTTTAATGCTAATATGAACCACACGGTACAAACACTGGACATAATCTACAGCCATATCTTGTCCGCACAAAGCTCGTCTGTGTCTGTTATCTGCGTTTGGTCGTCATTTCCTGATTCCAGATAATTACAACAAATATGTGCTCTCATCTAAAGCCATTCCTGCAGTTTTCAAATTCCTCCACACACTCTCCCAAAGCTGTTGGGAATCACGGAGCGGTGCCCACCCATCCTGAAGGGAAGCACGGAGCCAAGGGGGACGGACCTCCTATGTCACGTCATTGTAGATTTAGATTTAAGAAGACATTCATGTACTCAAATAGTCACGTCAGATAAGATTTTTACATTGTGATAAACGCATTCACTCCATAGTCAAACCCACTAGCTCAATGAGGCCAGATAGGGAAGATCTCTTGGACCAAGTTTTGCTCCAATTCCGGCTCTTGTTGACTTGAAAAGTAAACTCCTCTAGCTCAGTAAAAATCCATCTCTATGAACCTGGCGTTTATATTTTGAGATGGTCTTGTCCGTGTACAAGTCATACAGACCAATCAGATGCTTTCTTTCGCAGGAGAAACTCAAGCTTGCCTTAGCAATCATATTAGCAACCCGTTAGTCTGCATCTGCCCCTGTTACAGTGCAACCCGTCCGAACAAAACCCCAAACAAAGAAAATCAGCTCCAGCTAGCTTATGTTGAAATCTGCTTTTTACGCATTTAGCAAACACTACGGGTGATGTCAGTACTCTGTCAGTCCACTCCTAACATACGGCCTTGTAACATATAATGCAATAATAATGTATCCCAGACATCTTTACAATATAGCTGTGTAATTACCTTCATAAAACTGAGCTAAATGCCTCTTTAACTGCAAAGAGAATCTACCCATGGGTATGTATAAAGTCACCTTGAACCCTGAACATTGCTTGATAAATAATGTTTATTAGTTGCTAAATAATGTCATTTTGTGCCTAAATAGTTGTTTTATTAAAGTTACCTTCAGTTTGGATCAGAAGCAAAGACTTTCTACAACTACAGCTTTGGTAGTAGCAGCACATCATTCTGAACAAATCCTTCTTGTGTGGAGAAAATAACAATAGCCAGATTTCTGAGGATTAAAAGTAGGTGGGAAGCCATGTGACTGATCAAAACATGATTACGAACATGTCAAAGGTCTATTTGCCTAAACTCAGGGCGCAGCTCGTCAAAATGAATGAACAGACTGGTCCTCTTTATTAGACCGGCTCCAACATCAGTCACAGTTTATTCCTCGGCCATCTGCTCCAGTGAGTCCCTATGTCCACTATGTGCAAGAGTGTGTGTGTGTGTGTGTGTGGGAGAAGTCCATTGACAGAGAATAATCCCATTAAACGACTACCCCTCACTTTAACCGTCCCAGACCACACGATGCAGATGACAGCTGTGGTCTCGGCCCCTCTCCGCCCCCTACCCCCCGAGTGTAAGTCACTCTTTTTCCCCTCTTTTCTCTCCCTCTCACTCACACAGAATTGGGTTTTAGTGACACTCAAACACCAGATGTGCTCCCAGTCGGTACTGGACACAAAACAGATTTCGAGCAGCATTATAGACCCTCATGGCATGACCCTTAAGTGTATAGGAACCTTCTCTGCATTAGGGGTTTTTCTTAAATGCAAAAACGATTAAGTCACGTCACAGAAGAGGTCGGAAAGCAGCTATAATTAGATATTTACAAAAGGAATAGAAGTCACAGAAATCCATCCATGTTTGTACTTTCCCCTTATCAAAATGTGTTCTCTGCCTTCGCTCCATTCTTCAATGCCACCCGGTTTACCTCAGCTCAAGGATTTTCCCTATCGTAGTTACTTCATGTGCAATTCTAGCCTCATACAAGAATATAAGAATACTTTTAACTGTCTGTGAGTTTTAAATGTAATGTCAAACGGATGGAAATGATCTTTTCTGCTATAATCTGGCATATTTGCACTGTCTTTACAGATATTCATGAATGTGTATCACATATATACATACATAAAATAATAGTCATGAGGTTACATTTTAGAGGCATTAGAAGTTAAAAAGTCAACAACTACTATTTCTGCTTGCTCAAAAACACACCTACAGAAGTGGTTTTATGACTCAAAGACACATTTACACACATAAAATTAGTTAGTGACAAACAGTTGAATTGAAGGTACATTCTCAAGCAGCAGTACAAACACGTGAAATCAATTTACAAAATAATAGTTTGTTTCTAGCCAATTTGCAACATACTGCCCAAACTTTTACCAAACCACAGTGAGTGTTTTTACAACCACACGGACGGGTCTCGTGGGCAGCTGACATGTACACAGTCAGCGGGGCACATCTCGGTTCTCTGACGTGTGTGCGACCCCTCCTCCCTCCTCATTGTGCTGCTTTAGAAAGTGGGTTCAGACATGACCTGCAGGTTGCACCCACATTCAGCAGTGCTCGCTCTCCCTGTGCCGAGCAGCTGTCTGCCCGCCCGCTGACACACAGAGCTTTGCGGGTCACTTGCTCTTTCTCTTCATCAAACCTGCTTTGAACCAGACCAGCCCCATAAACACGTGCCATAAATTTATCACTGACACGCAGACACTACTCATTATGCGAAGAGCCTCGAGCGGCCCACGCAAACAACTATTTAGCAAAGATATAGGGGAACCTCTCCTTAGGATCGTTAAAGCTCAGTCTGATCATACAGACACTTTGCCATTGAAGTCACAAGTTGTAGTCTTGTGAGCGATCCAGATGGGACCAGACTGAGAAATCATCCGTGTTAAATAACCCTCTTCTGTTGAAGCCACACAATAAAATGCAATCAGATCAGAATTGCAATTTTTTATTTCTTGGTTTGATGATTGTATAAAGGAACAAGCTGCTATGTCCTTTTGTTGTCAGGCAGAAGTACTTGTCTTGTGCACACTGGGGGCTTTTGCAGATGTATTCCAATGTGGTTTTACTGTAAATGGCAAATAAATGAATCTGATAAACCTTATTTCATTATTTTCACTTTACTTTTTTCATTATTCATATTAACTGAATTAACAAAATGTGTTTTTGTAGTGGATCAATTTTTACTACTAGAATGGTTGTTCTATAGGTTAGAATACTATAAAACATACAGGACACAAGATAGAAATGCAAGTGCAATGTTGGTCAGAATCGACAATTTTAGATAATTTTGCCAAAATTGTGAAGCCCTAATCTCTACAACCAGGTTTATTTGGTATGGTATGGTATGGTTTTTATTTTTACAGGGACAGTGTACAGTAAACATTAGCCAAAAGGAGAGATGCTTTGTACCAGGTTGTAGCAGCAGTGCTAATTTACACCTGTGGTCCCTGAGCAGGTTGTTGTGAGACAGTAAAATAAAAAGTAGATGGATACATTACCATACATTATCAGACATACCTTACAATTTAATTAATCACAAATTAGATAATAGAATATAATAAAACCACCCAGCCCCCATTCTTTATTTTCATACGAACCTACACTCAACCTGCACTCTCTCTCTCTCTCTCATGCACACACACACACACACACACACACACACACACATACACACACCCACTACACACCTACGCAGACACTCATCACACATGGGAACAGATCTGCCTCTCCAGGAGCCATGCTCTTGTCAGGCGTGTGAATAGTTTTAGATCAGTGCAAGTGATGATGTGAGTTGGGAGTGAGTTCCACTGAGTCGCTGCAGTGACGGAGAAGGCTGACTTTCTGAAAGAGGTCCTACATGTTGGGACGCTGCACTCTCCTCGTGCTGTAGATCGAGTGGCACGGGTCATTTTTTCAGAGCACAGGGTCACATATTTCCTAAGGGGTGGGGCAATAAGACCGTTTATAACTTTAAAAAGTAGACACACATTATTATAAAAGAATTGATTTCCGAGGTTAAGAATATTGTATTTTGTTAAGATTGGGCAGTGATGGTATTGTTTGGGTTTCCTGTCATGTATTTTTAGTGCACGTTTGTATATTGATTGAAGAGGACCCAGAGCAGATTTGGAGCCCTGGGACCAACTGGACATACAGTACATGAAGTGTGGCAGAATCATAGCGTTCAGAAACATGTGGGAGGCCTCGACTGTGAGGGACCCTCTGATGTGTCTGAAGTTGGCCAAAGTAAAGTTTAGACTGTTTTGAAGTTTTTTTAAATGACTTTTAAAAGTTAAAGTGGAGTCAAGGCTGACGCCCAAGTAGGTATATTTTTCAACATTTTTGATATTATTTCCGTTTATTTTAATTGTTGGGTAATTTAGGTGTTTAGTTCGATTTGTGAAATATATAGAGACTGTTTTCTCCGTATTCAGTGTTAGACAATTTTGAAACAGCCAGTCAGCCACTCTCTGAATTTGGATGGTCAGTTCTTTTGTGACCTCATTTTCGTTTTTCCCATGGACGAAGACTACTGTATCATCGGCATACATGATGGTGCTCGCAGCGGAGACTGAGGGGAGGTCATTAATGTACAAACTGAATAACAGTGGCCCCAAAATGGAGCCCTGCGGCACTCCCGTGGTGTAGTCTTCCAGTGGAGACAAGGTGTTTTTTACTCTCACACATTGTTGTCTGCCACTTAGGTACGACCTGATCCAGTTTATTGTTTGTTTGGATCGATTATAATTTGATAATTTTCCTAAGAGAATGTTGTGATTGACAGTGTCAAAAGCCTTGCGGAGGTCAAGGAAGACTGCTCCCACAACCCCGCCATGGTCCAGTCTGGATTTGATTTCTTCGATTAGAAAGCAGCAGGCAGTTTCTGTTGAGTATCCACTCCTGAATCCAAATTGCATTGGGTTCAGGAGTGAGTATGAGCCCAAGTGTTCTATAAGCTGCTCTGCTACCGCTTTTTCATAGATTTTTGAGATAGACGGCAGAATACATATGGGGCGGTAGTTGGATGTCTGCTGTCTATCCCCCGACTTAAACACAGGTGTGATTATTCCAATTTTAAGTGCACAGGGAAAGACACTGTCTTCTATTGACTGGTTTATGGATTTAGAAATGGTCATTTTAAGTACATCCCTGTGTTCTTTTAAGAACGTACAATCCAATCCGTAAAAATCTTTTGCTTTACTGTTGTTTAGATTACCGATGATTTTATCTACTTTTTCTTCATTTATTGGCACAAGATGTAGAGCCATTGGGTCATTCACATCAGGAGTTTCCATGATGTGGGGTAGTGAGAATGATTGTGATAATTTATTCACTGAATCAATAAAATATTTGTTAAAATTCATCGCCAGGGCGTCACTTTCCTTTCATTTAATTCACAGAGCAGTACTTGCTCAATGATTCTGCAAAAATCTGTGATATTGTCTTTCTTTCTCTTTTTTACTGTATTTCTATAATTGCATGAAGGCAAAAAAGTGGAAGTTAAACTAAAGCAGAGTTGTCACGTGTTGCGTCATTCACGACACGTGTGGTGCGACACGCTGCAGTGAAAATACACATTTGATAATCATGAATGATTATTATGTATTTGTAGCCTTTACTTTGTCATTTAGATATTAGGCTAATATAGCTAATACATCTTGCAGCCTGTGTTACCTTCATAAAAGCCTTATACAAGGCTGTTATTTTTTTGCGGCTCCAGACAGATGTTGTTTTTAGTTTTTTTGTCAATTATGGCTCTTTGAACATTTTGGGTTCCCGACCCCTGGTTTAGGTGCAGACCGCCTCTGTGTGTCTGACTAATCCCTGTCAATCACATTTATCTGAACTCAGGGAATAAAACCAGCGTCTACACAACAGATCTTTGGAGAAGTGTTTTTTTTTTTGACCAGGCCAATTACTTACCAACTTTTATTTACAGGCTATAAGAAGATCAGCTGGAACCATCTACATACAGAAGTCTAAACAAGCTAAATCAGGTTTGAAAGCACCTTACTCAGACCCTTGGGAGAAGTAAACAAACGTCAAAAGTGGTCTGATGGTGCGGCTAATTCATTTTGTATCCAGCAAATAGTTGTTTATTGCTCCACTGTAACCATTTCTCTTTTACGGGTTTCCTGTGAGTGTTAATAGATCTCACCTTAACTGAATCCAGCAGCTCTTTAGGGAAAAATCGCCTCAAACCGACGTCTTTTCTGAAAAAAAGAGGGAGAACCTGTGTTTTTATTTCTGTAATGGAGACCAAGGAATGCTAACCATGTGTTTTTATCTGTTCGGATTGCTCATCTTGTGTAGGAGAACAGGAGCTTTACAGAGTTCAGCCAGATATGAAGGCCAGAAGAGAAAGACATGTAACTGAAAGCCATGACTAAGTAAAGCATCGTTCAGGATTTCCCCATGGACCCAGCGGAGGAGGATCAGAAGAGACAATATCAAAAAAAGACAGAAGCAGAGTTCAAAAGGGAAACGGGCAGACACGGAGACGAGCTGGGCTAAAACAGGAAGAGCTCTAATGACTCACAATCCTCTGAGGAAAAGTTCACAAGCCGAGGGGAGAGGGGGGGAATAGTAACGAGAAAGCAGTTACGTCATCTCGCCACTTCAAAACTGAGTGCATGTTGCTTTATCAAAGGTTTGTGAGACAACACGAACGATGGGGAATGTTGTGTGTAAATGCTGCAGCTTGAGTCCTGACTAGAACCAGGAAGTATGACCACATTAGTCCAGTTCTCAGGTCTCTGCACTGGCTTCTGTGGCTCAGAGTGTAGACCTGCACATATACAGCAGGTACATTTGTGACATGTTAGTACAATAAGAACCAACTTCGACTCTGAGGAGCACAGGGACTGGCCTCCTGCTGGTGCCAGTCAGAACTAAACATGGGGAGTCTGCATTTCAAGTTCACGCAGCTAAAATCTGGAAAAGTCTTCCTGACAATGTGACACAACTGATTTAATCTTCACTCTTTTTAGGGTGCTGTAATTATGTATGCCTTGTGTATGAATTGTGCTTAACAAAAAAACTTGCCTTGTCTTGCCATACCGTTTCAACCGGAATCAAATGTTTAGAATTTGACAGCATATTTACAACCTTACTTTACTCAGTATTTAGGTTTTTTTTATATTTTGCCTCTTAATATAGTGTTAAATTAACATATATTAACAACCAGGAAGTACGACCACATTAGTCCGGTCCTCAGGTCTCTGCACTGGCTTCCTGTGGCTCAGAGAATAGATTTTAAAGTAGCTTTACTTGTGTACAAGTCTCTCCATGGCCTCGCACCAGGGTACATCCGCGACATGTTGGTGCCATATGAACCAGCTCGGGCTCTGAGGAGCGCAGGGACTGGACTTCTGTTGGTGCCAAGAGTCGGAACTAGACATGGGGAGGCTGCGTTTCAGATTCATGCGGCTAGAGTCTGGAACCGTCTTCCCGAGAGTGTGAGACAGGCGTCTACTCTAGCAGTTTTTAAAACTGAACTGAAAACAGTTCTTTTTAGCTGTGCATACAAGTGAATGATTTTACATTTGTTTTTATCTTTAATCTTTTTAATGCGCTATGATTATTTATGATTATTTATGATTGTAATCCCTTGTGTGATTTTAATTTTTTACGGTTTTTAACTACTTGTGTGATTTTATATATCTTGTGCTCTTAATCTGTCTTTTTATGTTTACTTAAATTCTAATGTTTGATGATTTATGCATGATGTTATATGGGTTGTGAGGCGCTTTGCGTTGCCTTGTGTAGGAAAGGCGCTCTATAAATAAACGTTGATTGATTGATTGATTGATATTTAACTTGCTTTTTCAAACCGACATCATCTGCAGCAAATAAAACATACCAATAAAACTCATTTAAGATGGCAATTGACACCCAGATAGTGTTATGAATTGCACTGTAGATACGCAGTTCAGATGGATTTGTTAGTCAAGTCAAAAGCCAGCCTTCTATGTTTTTTGTCTTTTTGGATGAGAGACATTGAAGCCATGAAAGCAACATGTCCCATTTGCCCCCGTTGGCTCTGCGTTCCACACTCCCAAAGGCTCTTTCCGATTCCTCCACCGTGTAAAAAATGTATAGCACAACACTGTACTCTAACCAGGAGGGGAAAGAGGCCAGCGAGACACAAAGACAGGAAAAAGCAGAAGGAAAACACACTGGGAAGATGCGGACAATGGAGACATCAGAGCGTACGTTCGGTTAATTGGAAACTCGTTAGGCTCTCGGTAACAGAGACGGATCTTCAAAATCGGGCCGCTCATTATAATCCAACTGTTCCCGAGCCAAGCCTTGTTAAGACCTGCTCTGTGCCATCACAAGCAGGAAGCCGATAGTGGCTCAAATGAAGGCTAACGAGGAGATAACACACGCCAGGCTGCCGGATTCAACGGTGACCTGGGTAAATACAATCCAAGCAGCCCCAACTGTGGAGCCAACATTTGTATTCAATAAGATTCACGGACAACAACCAGCTACGATAAACATCTAGCCTTGTATTATGTTAAACTGGGAACATAAAGCAAAGTCACAATCATTTACTTTATGTCAAATCTTCTAATCAAGGACCACATCAAATCATGGGCCTCTTTTGTATGTCTAATCACAGACTTTTCTGACGACAACAAACAAGAACTTAAACGTATGAAAATAGCATTTGCCAAATATGTGAAGTTCTAGACAATACTTACTCTAGTAGTTCATAGTTAGATTTTTTATCCAAAGCGTTCCCTCGCATTTCTTTGAAGAACCTCCTGCAATACAAAAAATAAATACAAAATTACAGTTCAAAAACACATATAGTGAAGTTACTATTTTCTATGAACAATCATTAACTCATTGGCTGCCAAAGATGTTTTAATACGTTTTGTTTTTGGTAACGTTGACTGCAATATTAGATATAATACTGTATGGTGCACCTAATAAAAAAAATCTGCCAATATCCAGATATATAAAGTTTAATAATCAGTTAACACCTGTAGAATAGTGAGCATGGATCTATAATAATACCGACAGCGAGAGACAGAGAGACCTTTCTGCCATGTTACTGTTTACAAAAAGCTAGTTTTCTCTGTTTTCTGGTCAGCAACAGTTGTTTTGATTGAAACTAGGCATGTTCTCTGGTCAATTGCTCAATAACGGTAAAAGGTAACAACAAACTGTTTCTTGCAGATTGAAGCTAGGAGCCTAATCTGTCATTTGGCCCTTGGTGTTTCTATAGTAATTACTGAATATTCTGTGGCTCTTCAAAGTTAAATCCCCTAAAAACGCACTTCCCTGATCTGAAAAAGGTCTGGTAGTCAATGAGTTAAGTAAGTATTAGTAAGTCGTCACCTGATTTCTAAGCAGCCGAGTTTGAGTGCAAGGTCCTGTTCCACTTTATCTCCGAGTTCCGTCATGTAGTCGTATTTCACCTACAACATGAACGCAGATTATTAAACATTGATTTGAACACATTTTTATGACAAAAATATATTGTAAATACACACAGACGGTGCCTGTGTGACCCAGAATAACTCAAAAACCACTCGGCCTTAAAGCGGTGACATATGTTGTAGCGCTTGCTCCGGGCTCTCGATGAAATATGGAGCAGGAGTAGTCCGAGAGTCTGGTCTTGTGCGGGTGTGAGTGAGAAGTACCTGATGATAAAAGTAGTTCAGTGTTGGCTTGTCTTCTGTAAACTGTTGAAGAAAGCCCTTTGGGAGATATCGGATCCTCAGTTCATACCTGGAGAGAAGAAACCCCATCTTATTCATTCCAGTTCAGACACTTTTACTGAGTATTGGAGAACATTCTAGGACGTTTTAATGTATTTGTTTTCCCCCTTTTCTGCAAATGTTCAGAATGTTATTATTTCCTATGCAAATCTGTATGTACATAGAGATGAATGTATCTATGTCTTTTTGTGTCTCCGTTAATATTTTTGATATACTTTGCAATTAATTTTCCATCGAGCTTTCATGTTGTCGTCTGTTTGTGTTTGTGTGTGTGTTTGTGTGTGTGTATGTGTGTGTGTGAGATAGGATGCAATGCATGTATAAAAATGTAAGCATAAAGCTATATTCATACACGAGAGCGATTAAGTTGTTAAAAATGCAGCTTATACTCTAGTGCGACATGTTTTTTACCTGCTTTATTATGCATTTTTGGCTGGTGCAACTTATACTACGGAGCAACATAGCGTGTAAAAAACGCTAATGATTTTGAGGAGACCCCAGACTTGAGGTGCAGTGGGTAATGTGGATCTTAATAAACAAAAAACAAAAAAACTACTGCTGCTACACTTTGCAGTATAAAGCATTAGTTCTTGTCTGCAATGTATGAAAAAGAGGTGAAAAAGTGCCAGACTGATAGAACAGGCCTTGTTGACTCTATCAGACAAAACGTGCATCTGGTCGTCTCTGCCGTTATGTGCACAAAGCTAAAGATCTCGACCCTTGAATAGCATTAGTGCCAAACCACCACAATAAATGTAATATACAACACGTCATTTGCATATTAACTGCGTTGCTCACGAGCCACACACACGGCCCCTTATCTACATATGATAAAGACTTCTCCTGAAACCTTCAACGATATATCACGTCTGATACTTCGCTGGGAAAAGGAGTGACTGTGGTTAAGTAAAACAGACCTTTGCCAAATAAAATTAAAACACCGTGACCACTGAGGGTTTGGACTGTTCTTTACCTCCACTCTTCGTTTTGCCGAGCCTGTTCGTACTTCTCTCGCACATGTGACACGCCCAAGTCCGGGTGCAGCCAGTGCACTTGGTCCTTAGAAGAGATGTTACTGAGGCGCAGCCCGAAGCAGGACGTCCAGCGCACTTTGTAGATGTCCAAAATTTTCTGGATGATTCCCTGGAGGCAGAAAGTGTATTTGACTCAATTGTATTCACGTTGACTTGAGATGACGTTTGAGAGATGGACAGACGGGTCAGGGCAGCGTGTGCAGTGATGTGGTCGCTGTGCTGAGGCAGTGGATTTCGACAAAGCAGCGCAAACCGATAGTTACACCGAACTGTTGTGATGAAGAGGGAGTTAAACCGAAGGAGAAAGCCCTAGATTTCCCGGTCAGTCTAAGTTCTCATCCTCAACTATGGTCATGAGTTTTGGGTAATGGCCAAAAGAGAGAGGAGCTCATTCACACAGGAGGAGCTCAGATTAGAGCCACTGCTTCTCCATATTTAGAGGAGCAAGTTTGGGCTTTAACAGATGAAGTGGTAGAAAATGGATGGATGGACAGATTTTAGAGGTTGTGTGCTCTTCTACATTTTGAGAGACAAGTATGTTTTTTGTATGATTCAAAATGTAGTTTTGCGATATCCCTAAGCTCTAAAACAAACTTTAAATACAACTAAAGTATATAAATAAAAGTATGAACATAGGATTATACAGTATTATTCTATATTTCACGTGTGTTCTCTCTTGTTTTAATTATAACATAGATTTTAATTAGGAGTAGCTCAGTGCCTCTTCTGTTACATAAAAGTAGCATACTGATTGAAAAAGACCCCTGCTTTAGTACTTCAAAATAGTACACAACTTTAACTAACACTGCGATTTTTAAAGACGACTGCCATTAACTCATGCTATATTTTATGCATCAATTCACACAAACTACCAGTGTTTTCCATTTGAGCAACTCCTGGTGACATTTTGCTTTTGGTCAGTGGAGTCTACGTGAGCGAACGAGTGTTTGACCTGCAGCGATTGACATTCAACCCAAACAAGTTGAGAGACATCGTCCACTCACACTCACTCAGTGCTCGAGGCTCTGACCTACATTTGAGGAAGAGGGATGAAAAGAGGAGAGAGAGAAGTGGAGGATGGAGAGGATGGAGGAATGTGATTCAAATGGACATGAGACCCTTCTTCTTGACCTTTGAAAGTTTGAGCACATTTGAGTCTTGGGAGTGGACTTCACCTAAAAGCATTCAGCTAAGTAAACCAGCACTGGTGGAATTGCTCAAGGATATGTGCATTTACAAGATAATATTTTCAATTTACTCAATGTTCTGTATGGGGAAAAAGCATTAGGACATTCAGTGATAAAACTAACCTTTTGAACTACTTACAGAGGGAGATCCAGCTTTGCATCAATGTGTTTAGAGATTTCAGCACTAAAAGCTGGATCTACAATGTAGTTCATTGTAAGCATGTCAGGGAATGGTATTAATGTTAATCTCGTTTAATAGATATAATGGTTGTTCTACATTTAGGATCGTCAGTCAGTCTGTACAGAAATGTTTTTAATCATTATGTGTATCAAGCTCTCGTTTGTTTTTGAATATTATCAATGAAAAATGTTCTTGCGATTTGAGATGACCTAGTTTAGATTACACTCTTGGTTTTGTCAATTGATTACTAGTTTAATAGGATATTTATTTTCTCTGTGTTTTGTAAATATTTAATCCCATAATATTATCTTTTTTGTCATCTGAATAAATTATGATTTTTGTTACCATTTCAACATCTTGGTTTTAATTGTTACTTCCTTTACGCCTAAGCTGAGCCGGGTCGTAACAATTGTGTATGCATCCATCCATCCAGTTTCTTCCCCTTGATCCATTTATGGGTCTGGGGGGTGGCAGAGCTGCACTCAGTACACAGAGCACCAGCCGCTCAATGATCCTCCTGCAGGTGGTGAGTCCACAGGAGCCTAAATGTGTATCCAAACAATGATTTCATATTTAAACAATTACTTATTTTGTCTTAAATCAGACTAATGACTAACGCATAGTCCCAGCTTGGGCCGTCTATGGTCCTGTGACTTATTATGGACACATGATTTTATTTAGTTAAAAATAGATAGAAAATGTATAGGACTTAATTTAGCCTTTTGTTTTGAAGATGAAGATGAGTGCGATGGGAGGATAAAAGAGGAAAAATGTTTAGTTATTAATTGAACAGAATTCAATTAGCTCATCCTTGGTCTCTCCTGTAGACTTTCCCAAATGGTCATGATTGAAAACTGATTGCTCTTGACCTCGGTGACTTTTACATTCACAAGGCATCAAGCTGGTATTTGTATATAATCTGTCATTGTCAGAAGAAATGAGCAGTAATGAAGCATGGCAGCCAATGATAGTTCCTTTTCAAGTGGAGATAGAAAGCGATGACCCCAGAGAAGCAGGAAAGTGCAGGATCAACTACCTCACAATTGAACGAACACATTATCTCAGAGACGACACAGTAACATCCACAGAGCACCTCTCCTCACCCGGACATCTGTGGCGTCTCCATATCGAATGTTGGAATACCAGCAGCTGTGTTCGGTGTTGGTCTCGTGGTAGTGGAAGACTTTGAGGACCCGGTCCACAGATCCAGACGCGGATCCAGCCACAGTCCGGTCCGTTGCTCCGGTGCTCAGCCGCGACTTTGCTCCCAGAAAAGAGTGGTTCAGGTTAGGCTCCATGTAGGCAGTGGCCATGGTCTTCCCTGCTGCCACCGCGGCTGCTAGGTGTCGGTCATATTCTAAAAATACAAAAAGATAGATTGAGGTGAGGTTTTTCAATTGATGAAATACATTTGAGATTTACATTCATTTTACACTATTGCTCTAATTGAATACATACATTGTGTAATTGTTTATACATCTATTCAGCTATATATTAGGTTAATATTAGATACATAAATCATTGACGGTTTAGAAGTTAGGGCTGGGCAATCTGGGCAACGGGAACAATATTTCTTCCCATAATGACTGATCTCTGTTCGAAAAATATAGCAAAATAACTGGTAAGACAAAATAATGCATTTAACCATGCATAATATTTAAGTCAATCACAGTGAAAGACAAGGACACATGACTGTTTTTACTGGGGTTTTTCAATGCTAGTTCAGGTGTTGATAATCACAATCAGCAAAACTTGTGAGAGCGCTTTTTCCAAATTAACAAATCTTTGGAACAGCTCGAATAGAATAAATAGTAGTATTTAGACGATTGGACCAAGGGTTGAATTCTTTCAATCTTAATAGGTCCGAATTTCTCACGACAAGCATATTTACTTTAACACACGTCACAACTTTTCCACACAGTTCCAATTTAATGGTTGCATTTTTGAAAGGAAGATCTCTAGAGCTCGTATGACGTAAATCGGCAAAGATGAAATGTTGCAAACAATGTGATACTTAACGTAGAGGAGAGTTCTTTGGGTCAAGGTTTGGACTGAGTGTGATGAAAACAATGAGACACAGCTCTCCTGTGGAACAACTGCGGACACTGACACATTTCCTGGAGAGCACCGAGGCCTGTTTACTGTAAAAATGCCACTGGATTGTACAACCAGGCACTTGATATTAGGAATTACTCTTTGAGGGGGAAAAAACCATTCGGCAACGTATCACTTTTTGTTCTACTACAAACATTTACACAAACAGGATGGCCGAGTTAAAGCCCATATGACCGGTTAGGCAACTAATTTCAATCAAACAAAGTTAAAGTATCCTGGTTTAGCTAGTTATTACAGTTTAGTAAACTTCATAGGTAAACAATACCTTCTGGTTGAACAAGAGCAGCAGATATGACAGATAGAGGTAGTTAATTATACCATAGGAACCAGAAAGGAAAGCGGGTCAATCTCACTTACACACAAGTTGAATGAATAAGGCAGAAACTTGAGGCAACACCTTTATCTTGTCGTCTTTGAATTTGATGACGAGTGAAGGGATGTATTTTGATAACCAAGCATTACTTCCTGTATGTAGTTTCTGTCACACATTGCCATTTGAATGAAACTACAACATCATTACCAGTGTTTTTGTCCCACACCAAAAAGACTCAGCTAATATGGCCAGCCACAATTCTTTAGTCCCCTTACATTCCTGTTGGAGAGACAACTTTCCCTTTTCCCATGGAGTCAAATGTCACCATCTCCAACGGTAACCTGCATTTTTCCTCATAAAAGATTTCATTCATACCTCTGTCCCAGCACATGAGGAAACGTCCGCAGCCACCTGACGCCATAGAGACACATATCCTCCCCCCTCTGGGTCCGTCTCTATCCAGCACTGACAGGCAACCGGTGGCTTCGCAAACCTTCATTGCAAACGACAGTCCCAAACTTGTCCAAAAAGGTCAAGTCAACAAACGAAAGCTGTGATTTTCGCACAATCGTTCCATAATCAAAATGAACAGCCGTGTCCCCGCAGAATGAATTGCCGTCTCTGGGTTTTGTCAACAGCTTTGTCCATGTCTTGCAATTAGAATCCAATGCTGAAGCTGAGATTGTACAATAGTTTCAACTTCAACCCAGTTCTCCCAAAAGCATCAACTTCTTGTCCAGCCCGTGGTGTTGGGAGCCGGGACGCCCCTTTGTTGGTCAAGCGGCTGATTTTTGCCCCATGCCTGTGCCCCGTGGTTACCCAGTTGCCTTGGAAATAAAAGTAAATCACGTTTGGTCGCTTGGGAGAGAGTTGAAGCTATTTCAATGAGACTGAAAGGACAGTCCCACTTGCCAAAAAGCTGCAGTTGAGAGAGAGATAGCCAGTGGATAACAACACTGACAACTTCCAAGAGATATAAAGTTATCCACTACAATGTCATCTCCTTTTTGCAATGGCTCAAGATAAAAACTCCAGTGGACGAAAAAAAAGAGCAACAATTGTTTGAGCTTGAATGAAAGGAAAAGAACAGAAGCGTTGCACAAAGTTGAGTGAGGGACAAGTGGAAAGTGGAGAGGCAGCAGGAGCAGCAGGAGGAGCCAGATGCTATTAATATGCTAATCCTGTCCCAGGCGTTTCAATGAGTTACCCCTCCCACCGAAGCAGTTTATCAGGACGACCTCAGGCTAATACCAGACAGGTGTACCAAATGCATATTGCTCCAAAAGTCATCTGATAAGAAAATATACAAGTATTGACTCAAAAATTGGAAGTCATGGGAATTACATTTTCAAAAGGTCAATCGTTGGCATTTGATTACTAATATGATTCCTACCAAATGTGATTATTGTGCATTCTATGTGTGGTTTATTTCAATATTTGCTGTGTATTTCAATGCATTTTGGGCAAAACCTTTGAGTGAAATGCACAGAGTAGTAGTATTGATGAAAGGGAGGAATACAGTTGTAGACATACTAGAATTGATTAATCTTTTATTACAAACTCAGGGTCCAACAAAGACAAGCTTTGATTAGCGCCAATTTAATATAAAAAAATGCAATCTATAAGCAAATCTACAAGCAAGGGCACATTTAATGTTTATGATATAATTCACATTTGTGTTTTGATTTTAAAAAAGATTTACAAAATACATTTGCATTAACTAGTTGCATGTTGACATTTTTACACATTATTCTTATGAGCAGATAACTTCCATCCATCCATTTTCTACCCTTTAATCCATTTCTGGGTCAGGCGGGTGGCAATCAGAGATGCCACCCAAGTCTCATAGCACCAGCCCAAAATTGGGAATGACATGGGCCATATAACATTCATATTCATTATAGTAAGACACACAAAATCACTTTTATGGTACTGTTTACAATCACCTCCTATTTATTATGCTTATTATAGTCCAAAGAGAAGAGTAATCCTACACTCAACCCTCCACACATAATATGCACCGCAAATGCATTCAATTTTCTCAAACATTAAGTCCACTACCAGCCTCTTCTACGTGTACTTTTTTCCATTCACTCCCTTCCGCATATAACCCTCTATCCCTCTCGAGACACCTACTGTATGTGCAAACCCCAGCTGCGATAAATCAAATGGACACGTGGTTGAATGTATTCTTTCCTGATGAATTGAAGAGGCCCCATCCCCTCATCTTGCACCAAAACCCACAAACCTTAATGTCACCTTGCGTCGAGCTTTGTGTTTGGGACATGCACGTGTGGAGCCTATAATTTGTGTCCCATCTGAGGAGGCGGCCATTGTTATGAAAATCCAGCGGGGTCGGGGTAGGGGGGGGTGGAGGGTGGGGGTGCAGAGGGGGGGGGGGGGCAGTGGGGAAGGGTACTATTCAAAGCCTTTTGTCAGCAGGCCGGATGTTGTCAAGAATGAGGGGATATCTTTTGGGACTGCTTCCATGTGGCTCCGTTTACCTCTACTCGTGGCTCATAGACAAGTCATTTTCCAACCTTGAACTATACAAAGACGGTTTTAGAAGCAAGTAGCCATTTTTTGGTTCCAACTAATGTGCAAAAGACAAAAAAAATGGACTGAATAGAACAAATATAAACTGCGACATAACATTTGAAGCAAGACGCTCAATTGTTCCCACTTCCAACCCCGATCACAAAACACTCTCTGACCCTACACCTCTCCCCATCACTTGCTCTGTGCTAAATAGACCCAGTTAATAATGAATAATCCATTTTAATTCTTAGAGAAAAACAATACAAGAGTTTCTACCACAAGCTCCTTCTTATAATTAATAATTTCAGTGTTTGTGAACATACTTACATATTTAGTGTATTTATTAAAAAATCTCTTTTCCTTAATTCTACAGTGCACATGGCAATTTACAAGGCAAGGCAAGGCGAGTTTATTTGTATAGCACAATTCATACACAAGGCAACTCAAAGTGCTGAACAAGATAGCATTCAAATCATAAATAATCACAGAACATTAAAAAGAAAGATAAAAACATAAAATCCCTCAGTTGTATGCACAGCTAAACAGAACTGTTTTTAACCTGGTTTTAAACATTGTCAGAGAGGAGGCCTGTCTCACATCTTCAGGAAGATTGTTCCAGATTTTAGCAGCATGAATCTGAAAAGCAGCCTCCCCATGTTTAGTTCTGACTCTGGGCACTAACAGGAGTCCAGTCCCTGTGCTCCTCAGAGTCCGGGCTGGTTCATATGGGACTAACATGTCACTAATATATTTTGGTGCGAGGCCATGGAGAGACTTGTAACAAGCAGAGCTGTTTTAAAGTCTATTCTCTGAGCCACAGGAAGCCAGTGCAGAGACCTGAGGACCGGACTAATGTGGTCGTATTTCCTGGTTCTAGTCAGGACTCGAGCTGCTGCATTTTGAATGTACTGCAGCTGTTTTACAGCCTGTTTGGACAGACCTGTGAGCAGGCCATTGCAGTAGTCTAACCTACTGGAGACAAATGCATGGATAAGAATCTCCAAGTCTGCTTTAGACACTATGTTTTTGAGATGGTAAAAAGCTGCTGATGTTACTGATTTGATGTGGCTATTAAAATTTAAGTCTGAGTCCAGTATTACCCCTAGATTTCTGTTTTAGGGAGAGAGACTGTAGATGACAGATGACGCTCTTACCAATACTTAATGAGTCCAGCGCCCACTCACTCAAAACTGCGTTGGTTTAATTGTCTTTCACACCCACAATAGCTGCCACACTGGGCAATTAGTGCTTTTCTCCCGACGACGAGCCTAACCGTTTATGCCTCACTAGAGAAAAAATAGCTCATCAACAAAATGCAGTGTCCCCTCTTTGTAAGCTTCAAGATGGCAGTGGGTTCCAGAGGACCAATTTGGCTTCGAAACTCCACTGAGAAAGCATAGATCTGTGAACAAATTTTATACGGAGGAAAAGCTCAACCCAGAGGACACTTACAGCCTGAAGCCAGAGCCTCAGGGCATTGGAAGTAGTTATTCCCTACAGAAAAATAAAATGTGTGTGTGTGTTCTTTTTCCATCCATTTCCATCCATTTTCTACCCTTTTTTCCATTTCTGGGTCAGGGGGGTGGCAATCAGAGATGCCACCCAAGTCTCATAGCACCAGCCCCTCACTGACCCTCTGCAGGTGGTGAGTCCACAGGAGGGCGGCTGCTCTCTGAGTGTGAGCATAGCCTTGATCTTTCAGTGGGGGCTTTGGGCAAAGTGGGGTTAAGTGTCTTGCCCAAGGACACAACGCAATGTGTCAATGTGACACAATGTGACAATGTGTGTTCTTTTTGATGATCCAAATAAGTAAGTATTTGGAATAAGTATCCAAATGAGTAAGTATTTGGATGTCAAAGTCTCAAAAGGAAAAGGTTTGAATCAGTAACTGCATCATGCATCAGTTTGCCCAAACTCCTTAAGGCTGCAAATCATTTTTTCATACAGATATACCCTTTTATTGTTCAAGTGTAAAGTAAAACAAGTCACACAAGGTCTGCACAATGTTGGCAAAATAACTACCAGTAACTGGGAATTTTCAGACTAACATTGCGTTGAAAATCCCAATGGAATTTTCATTAAACAGATTGCTTAGTACGAGTCTGGTGTGTAAAGTCTGCCCCAGGGCAGCTGTGATGACAGTGATAGTGATGACTGCATTATTATTAAATATTATTACAGCGCTTTGCTTTTAGTGACCACTAAAATTGCGATTCTGATTTGATTGCAATCAACTATTCATGCAATGGATGAATCATGCCGCCTTAAGTCTTTGCTCTTTTCTAATTGCAGTTTGGATTCATGTGCTTAAAGTATTTCATCCCAGGTGCTGATCAGAACATCTGTCTTTGGATTTGCTCATGTGGTTGCTAATGATTGAACCTCTGCAAATATTTAATTTCTGTGCAGCGACTTTGTGGGAAAGTAAACAAGAAGCAGTAAAACACTGACTCACCTGTGTAGTATGCAATCCTGGAAATATCTGCAAAACAAAGAGAGACGACTGTCAATGGACAAATCCAAATTCATTAAAAATATATTGCGTTCATGTTAACAGTCAGTTCATTAAAGCGATTCCATTGTCAGCTCAGGGTGTGATTAACTACTTTGAAAACAGATCAATACGTACGAGAACGACAGCATCGATTCAAAAGGTCAATAGCCGGCTCTCACGACATTAAACATATGAGCTGTTTAAAGAGGCAATTTCAAACTGGGAGTGCAAAGAACCAGACTAATAAAAATGTGCAAATATGAGGCGTAATGAATAAGTATTTGAAATTCATGAATTCGTATCTTAATCAAATCTGTGGTCAATTACAGCAGGCTTCTTACAAGATTATGGAAAGTGGTGCAGTCGTTTTTGTAAGTCACACCAGGAGCTGTGACGGATGTATAAGGAGTACAGTGGTCTGAGTTTGAAATGAATGCTTAATGCCAGAGCAAAAATACATCAAATACACTTCTAATTCTTAAATGTATTTGTTACATCAAGCAGAACAGCATATTTTGAGCAATTGAGAAGTTGACCGACTGATGCAGGCTTTCCCCCAAGAAAAAAATATCAATATAACAAAAAGTACATATAGTGAGAGCACTGTAATTATACCCGTGTTTGCGTTTATCACTCTATATATTAAAATCATCACTAGGGCTGTATGGTATTGGAAAAACAGTAAGCGTGTCGTGCAATGGTGGTGCCAACTGCCAAGGACGGCCATAACAACAGTGAGATATTTTCCTTCCCCAAAGAAATATATACATGTTGGAGATGAAATGTTTACTCATCTCTTTTGCATGTTGTGTTTTGTTCTTATAATCACTAAGTTGGTGGCTCCTACAGCAAAAGAATAAAAATGGCAATATGCATCATGAACTTGCAACAACAATATTTTTCCAATATATTATGGTGTGCTATTTTCCATATTATTCTTGCTTGAAATGTACTGACAGTGTAATAAGCATAAGCAAATAAACCATGAACTCCTTAATCCCAAATCCAATCTCCTCTCCTCCTGGAAGAGGCACTACACTTCCTAGAAAGAGTGCTATATTCCGTATCCATTCCTCCCACCGGAAGCCGACCAACGACCACTGGGAACTCAACCCTCAGTTAGAGCCACGATAAAGGGTCAAAAGACAAGGACCCTAAGTGCTGAGACGTCCCCGATGAGCACGGACAGGGGCCACTGAGTGTATTGTCAACAAAGATGATGTAACGAAAGAAGAAACCCCGAAGTGCTGAGGAGAAATGCCAACAAGGTGACTCGCGGTGTGGATGCTTTATCGACAAACACTGGAAACATGAGCGCGCCGCGGAGGATGTGAGGGATGAGCTGCTGCTAACGAAGTGAATTCAAGTCACAGGGGATTGGACTGACATATCTGCAACAACAGGAGGGATGTGGTTATTATTATGGATTCTTATACGGCGTCGATGTTTCACAATGAAAGAGGATTCAAGAGAGTCACAATTATCAGATTGTAAAGTGATGGATAGAGTATGTTTAAGTTTGATTTGTTATTCAATTTCTCAGATTTTTGCTCTTCAAATAAACTCCATTACAAATCTGAGCAGACATTTTCCATGCATTTTTAGATTTGGAATGTTCCACTAAATCTTTTTATAATAATTTCTTAGGTGCCTTTCTAGACACTCAAGGTTGCCTTACACCACAAGTAAAAAAGTACATTTAGTTAGAATAAAGGTTAAATAGCAGTTAAAAGCAGCATGGACAGAGGTGTGAGTGGTTATGATGTTAGTGAGTTAGTGGCTTAGGTCTAAACAGATTGAGTTTTGAGGTGGATTTGAAAGTGAGTGAGTCGGTGTTACGGAAAGTCAGGGGGAAGAGGGTTCCAGGGCTGGGAAGGCCCTATACTCCCAATGGTGACGAGGAAGAGGAGAGACCAGGAGGAGGAGGGGAGGAGCCGAGGGAGCGGGGAGGTGTGGAGATCCGGAGGAGATCAGTCGGGTATGGAGGAGCGAGGTTGTGGATGGCTTTAAATGTGAGAAGCAGGATTTTGGATGAGCGAGTGATGGGAGCCCGTGGAGTTGTTGGAGGACAGGGGTGATGTGGTTGATTGAGGGAGTGTGTGTATTGAGACGGCGACTGTGTTTTGGACTAGTTGAAGTTTTATATGGGGTAGGACTTTATAAGATGTGTTTCTCTTCATCCTACCCATGTTCTTCCCTTCATGGAATGTATTACTGGTGCATTTTCTGGATTATTGTGATATTTTGTCGCATTACCATGAAAAAAGGGAACAATACAAATAAAAGATATATGGTTAAGAACTATATCAATAAAGTCTATATCTACAGACTTTATATTACATAGGACATAGATGCATGTGTCCAACAACAACAATCCATACACACAATTATTTCAAATTCTAAAAAAGATTGGAACAATAGTAGCTCATCATAAGGCCAAAAACTAATATGTTTTCTTTCTTTTTTTTAAGTTGTATTCATAGGTTGTAATCACGTAATTATAGTCTATTATTATTTATAGAACATGTTCATTAAACATAACAGGAAAACCCCTGAATAAGACTAAACTTCAAACCCATGAGCAGATGTCTTCAGTTATGGGTGGTTGGCAAAATCTTGATTGAGCGTGTGCATGGTGAAACTGTGCTCCCCCTGGACCACAGTGCAGTGGTGCTAATTACATAGCAGGCTGTTTCAGTCTCACTGCACAAATATCAAAGACCAGCTCAGGTCTGAGAGCAGCAGCAGCAGAGGCCAAAGCACCTGCTCCACAAGCTGGGACTGTCCTGCTCCAACAACCTCCACACTATATTTCAGAAGAGCCAGAAATGTTCATGAACTTAGAATTGTATTACTATAAAATAAGTAAAAAATATGCAGGTATTTGGGGCCACTACAAATCAAATTGTAATGGATAACTTCTGTTTCCAAAAGCTCTTTGGTTGTAATGATTTTTTACTTGCCAAGTTGCCATTTGTTATTGTAAACTAATGTCTATAATATCATTTTACGCAAGACTTTTAAAAACAGACTTATTTTAATAATTGCAGGTTATTACATGATAGTGGGCAGGAACAGGGATAACTATTTTTATAGGTCTAAAGGTAATGGGACCACAATAATACTATTAAAACCTCATGAAAGTAAATGTGTTAAGTTTGTGCTGAAAATTAAAAGATGCAAAAAAATGCAATCTCAACTTTTTCTCAATCTCAACATATCCCCTTTGATAATAATGGCCTGTTAAGTGTTTTCTTGAGATAAAACACTTTCCTCCAACGCAAAAAATGTTAACATTGTAGACATCTTTTTAAAATTGGCATCTCTTTCTTTACTTAAGCTGTATGTGCCTGAATGTATTCCTAAATGTGACTTGCACTCAGTCAGACCGGTTCATTTGCTGTGGTTTCTCTCATCTCTGTAATTGCAGGTTCAACAGAATGGTTTTTAGATTGTCGTAAATCAGACTAAACAACAGTCTGCTTTGGTGTATATGCACCGAGGCTCAATTTCCATCCACTGGCATCACGTGGGTGCACACGGGCCATTGAAATTTGGCAAACGTGTTCAAAGCAAAAGTGAAAGTGATAAAAGGAAGGAGACAGATGTTGTTTTTCAGGTAGACTCGATGTGAGATTTCATAGATGGAACCGAGGAGGAGAATCAGCTTTTTGCTTCAGTATGGCTGCTATTTTTGTAAATAAGCAAGATATATGATTAGTTACGATGCGATACTGGTCTATTACAAGGGTAGGGTGGGTAGCTAAGGCTTATTAAAAGAATTGGCCTCTTTACATGTGTTTTACATCAAAAGCGTTTACATACGTTCAATCGTGCCAGCATGAAAGTGAATGAAGATTGAACAACATTGATCCTTGTTCTATCAACGTATGCGTCATATCGCTCGTGCAAATCTCGACAGGCTTTGAGAGTGCATCCTAAAGAGAAAGGCAGCAGCAGTCACCATGGATAGCGCGCCAACATAGACAGTAGTAAACAAGGAGAGAGCATCCAACTGAATCTGACAAAGCATTCCACCAAACTACTGTAGATAATGGGTATTTACATCAAGAAAAAGTCTTTAGTTAAAGAAAATATCATCCATTTTATGCCAGATGTAAGAGTGCTTGTCTTGTTAAGTATATATTTAAACTGATAATTTACTAAGTAGTTTACAGACCAAGGCCACCAAAAGCGCTTTACAATGTTCAGAGTTCAGATATTGTTCCAATCATTCCACACACGGTGATGACAGAAGCGAGTCGCCGAACACATCCATTCACTCTCTCATTTACTTTTCATACCTATTTACCCATTTTCATTAGGGTTATTTTTATGTCAATACAATGAGAAAATGACAAATCAGTCATTACTTTTTGCAATTGATTAAATGCAATGTAATCAAAACAAAACATCATTACGTAACATATACTGTAGATCGTGGCTCAGTGGTTACTAGAAAAGTAGTTCTTGGTTTTATTAAGTATAAACCTCTATGATACAGTGTGGGAAATGCAAAAATAAAAAACTGAATACAACTGACATTATGGACCCTTGTACTTCCTTGTCATAACGCTGTCTTTTATAAACTGGAATACAATCTGAGGTGCTACAAACAAGAGCCATTATTCAGACCCGTCAATTCAACACAAAACAACCCGGACAGTCCACACAAACACTCACTTTGCTTCACAATGCGTCCTCCTGGGGCCTGGTCTACACACATGCAACATAATAGGTCATGTGAAGCGCATGGCTGCTCCGCGATCACACATTTATCTGCAAAGACCCAGTGACACTTGTGCTCATTGGCCTGTGCTGTTCAGGTGCACCGATAAAGCTAACCGGCTTAGTGCAGCCAGCGGCATATATCACACTCAAACCAGATGCACTATATGTTTAATTCATCGAGGCAGATTACGAGCGATTGATGGGCTGAGATCAGTTTAAATGATAACTCAACATCAGTGACTATGACCCACCAGCGT